TCCACTGGAGGAGATTCTCAATGCCCCAATACTCCCGTGTGTTTTACTTAGTTCCCTCTTGCCAACGCACACCAGCATGTGTCTAGCATCTGGGAAGGGTGTGGGGGCTGAAGAGAGTATTTAGCCATATGAGAAATTTGGAGGTGAAGTCAAAAAGATCCCTAGGGCTTATGACTGATGGGATCACTTGCATGACCCACGACCCCTGCAGCAGGCAGTCCCCCAGCAGCCTGCCATTCCCTATGTCTCCAGCCCCAGACATTAGAAACCTCCAAATAAGCAGAGTAAAAAGGATCTTATAGTGAACGGCAATCCTTAGCAGGCTGTCGGGAGTCAGCTTTGTGTGCTTACAGTGCTCAAATAGCAGTCACAATCATCTTTTTAGAGAGGTCATGGCAGCTAGCAAATGAACTTGCTGCACATTTTATCTGGGACATCAGTGTGCAAAGGAGCCAGAGGGGCTCTGGGCCTGAGTCTGCACTCCACAACACTGGTGCAAGTTTGGCCTAGGATTGCGAGTGTATAATGGTGAAAGCCTGATAGAAGAAGGGAGGAGAGTCCATTGCATGTTGCATGCTCAATCTGTTTTTTTTTGCTCCCCTCTCCCCTTTTCTGCCAGTGCTTCTTGTCCAGGAGATCTTATTCCTCTAAGGCACCTTGCTGGAGACATGCAAGCATTGCCTGAGCCTTGATCAGTGCAGACCTGCGCAGGCTGGAGATGAGAGGGTCACTTTGTTCCCATGAAAAGCGCTCTGCTCCTGCAAGGGAATGGGTCTTTTCTGAAATCTTTCACACACCCAAGCCCTTTTTATGATAAAGCGTACTAATAACGAATGCAAATATCTTGGATTCTCCTCTTGAGCTACAGAGATTTCACTATTCTCTGTGTTTTTCGATGTCATTCAGATGCTATGATAGTGGGGACACGGAAACACCCAGACAGATAGCCCCCATCAGGCAGACAGAAGGGCTCTTTCCAGGACATTACACTTCAGCACATCACCTTTGCTACTCTTGGAATTACTGTCCGATTTTGATCATCCGTGTCCATCTGTGACAGCTTTTCCCTCTGCTTGCTAGCTTTCTGACTGCCAGTTTTCCCATCCGTGCGTGAACGTGAAGTCATCAGGGTTTTCTTCGCTGACTACCTCAATACCTTTGTGCTAGACAGAAAAAAACAGACGCTTTCCAGCCTGCCCGTCATATGCCCTCTCCTGTGTCCATCGCTTTCATAGCAGGAGTTGTGTTCGTTGGCTCTGCTTAGCTTCCTTTGATGCTTCTGCCAGGAGGGTAGAGATGTTACACACGCATCACAACATGACTTGGCATCCGAGAACCGGCATGGCCACTTTAAGGGAAGGAAGATGTTTGGAAACTGGAGAAGGGTATCCCGTGAGAGTTACAAATGCCGCTTTCTGGTACATAGCAAGTCCTCTGGAAAACTGCATTTCAAAAGATTTGAAGCAAAATAGGGTCAAGTCTGACCAACAGATTCAGCCTCTGCCTCTCCAGCAAAAAAATGGAGGGGATGATATTTTGAACTTAACAGAGGATTTCATTTCAGTGTTTTAAAAAAGAGAGGGCCTAGTTTAGAAATGCTGAAACAGTTCTCAACATTTCTAACTAGAATTGCAAAAGTCTAAATGCTGTCATTTTGTTCTATTCTGTCATAGCTGTGATCAAAAATGCAAATGGCATTAAAGAAGTCAGTAAGCCAAATGGAAACAAAGCATTTGTTTGCAAGCTGAAATGAAACTTAGGATGATCTAAATGAAAACCATTTCTTTTTTTTTTTCCAATTATTTATTTTGTTGCTGTGATTATTGTTGTTGTCTTTCAATCCTCCAAAAAACACCTTCATTTTTCCGTTCAGATACTGAAGCAAGTGAGCCTTTATTCTGGCTCTCAGTGAGAAGATCCTGGCTCAGTGCAGGTGTTGTAGGCTACTCTGATTATACTCCTTCTGGGACAGCTCCTAAAATCTCCCAAAATGCCAGGAAAGCGTTTTGACCAGGTGTTCTTTCCACCTTGGGGATGCGAGAGGGACACACACTGCCTCACTGACCCTATAGCAAGGACCCAGGGGCACGAGCTGCATGTGAGCTACGTCTTGCTGACCGTGTCTCTGGGATGGATGAAGTGGGTACCATGATCTTGTGATTAGGAAGCTGTGACCACCTGACTTCTAACTTAAATCTTCCATCACTTATGACCTGAGATGCTGACTTCAGTGATGACGTCTGATAACATCATAAGCAACTGTGGCCCTAACTTAGTGAAATCACAGCACCAAGATAGAGTGGCAGATTAGCATGAACAGTTAGTATATTCAGTACTAGTTTGATATGGGGCTGTTAGTGTTTTTAAAGGTTTTAGGCATTTATGTATGTGCTCTCTGGCTAACCAGTAATTTAAACGGTAAAGCTTTAGGCAACCTTTAAACTTTTTAGGGGTATTGGTTTCTGATTTTAGTTTGAAAAATTAATGCAGGACTTTGAAGATACAATGCAATCCCCATGACGTTAGAAAAGCTCTTCTGAAAGTTAGCTCCTAACCAGCTCTGTCTGCCAAAGTTTCATTGCTGACCCTTATGGACGCTAAGTCCCTGCCTCCTACTCTTTTACACGGGAGGGAGTAATACCGCCTGCCAAAAGCAAGAAGAAAAAACAAAAGGGAGAAAGGACACTTACTGCCAGGCAGTCCAGAGTTTCATCTCGCATCACCAAAAAGTGCACCATGACCTATTCTAGAGGTCAGTTTAGACAAAGCTCTGACGGTAGCTTCTCTGAGGACAGCTTGTGACAAGGACAGACTGGAGGACAGTAAGGGGCTGGGGAGCAGGCAAAAATAAACAACCTCATAAAGGATGCAGAAGGTTCCCTGGCCTACTCTTCCGTTCAATGTCATCGTCCACTTCAGCCTATTACAGATCTACTAGAGCCCCTTGCATTTTCCATCACCTTTTGCCGGCAAGGAAATGGTAAAAAGTCTGGAGGCTGAGTTCCAGTGCAAACACGCTCTGCAATATTTATGAAGGCCGCTGTGAATAATTAATGGTTTATTGCAACTTCGAAAGCTTAGCCACAAACCCTTTGTAAGACTGGCATGAGATGCTGCAACGCTTTGCATAGAAGCATTGCTAATATAATTCTGATCTGTGAGGATCCTCAAAAGGGCATAGTCATTTAATCTAAATCTGGGGAGGGTGGGGAGCCTAGCACTGAGGACTGGGACACAGACTTTGTGTCTTTAACTCAAATGTCTCTCTCTGGTACCTAAAGCCGCTGCTGCCGCAGTGCTGTTAAGTAGCTTATATGCCCAAAGTTGGCAATTCTCAACCTATTTTCGCACAGGTGGGAATTCACCTCCCAGGCAGCAACCAGCACAGTCAGCATTAATTTGCACTGGTATTGGTGGCCACAGATAAGTGATTAACAATGAGCTACCATGCCAGCCTGAGGTGGTACCCTAAAAATAGAGGAGCATGATATACTGAAGACCCGTCTAGTCCAACGTCTTTTTTTTTTTTTTTCCACAATAGTGGCTGCTAGTGGGTATTCACAGAAAACTATGAGAAACATAGTACTACTTCTTTCCCTTATATGTTCTCCCAACCTTTAGCAACTGATAGATGAGGGACTTCTTGAGATGAAACTGTATCCGAACTGTCATGTCAGAAACAGGCAAGTGCAAGCAGGGGAAATGTCCAGCTCTATCAGTAGATTTTTCTACTGGGCGGTAAGCCTGACTTTCACGTTCAGCTCTTTCTCCAAGTGGTAACTTCATTTTGAATGAAAGCAAAGTGGAAACATTGTTGCTGTTTTTTAAAATGTTTAGCCAGAGGGGAACAGGGACAGAGAGGGCTCTGTGTGTATGTGAAAGAGGGAGCTGTGATGTGTGTCACGCAATTTTATAAAGGTGGATTAATGGTCTCCAAAGCTCAATAAGATGACTGCGTGATGTACCTGCTCGTTCAGAGGAGCTGAGGAGAGCTTCAAGCATTTGTGTCATCATTCTTAAACAGAGAGAGAAAAAAAATCTTCATTTAAATGCATATAGTGGCTTTTCACTTGGGACTGAGTGGAAAGTTTTTCTATTAAAATGCAAATGAAAGAATAAACTGTAACTCCAAATTTCTCCCTGAAAATGGATGTCTCCTCTCTGCATTGTGGTAACAGGGTGATCTGTGCCTTCAGACTGCAAGTGTTTTTGTCTTGATTTTGGGAAGAAGGGAGGAGAAGGAGGTAAGGAGGTTCGGGATTTTGAGCCCCAGAAAGAATTATGCTGCTTTTTGTTATATTAACCCTCCACTGTGAAATGTTTGGAAGAGGAGCTCAGGAAGTCAGCAGGAGTAGAACAAAATGCTCACCTGAACATCACCCTTCTTGTAGCAGCAGTATTTCAGCATACGCTTTCGTATGAGTACTATATGCTCTGTACTATACACTATACCAGTGCAGGATGCACATACAGTAGGAGACAGTCTCAGTAGCAAAGTCCAGCAAGAGACAGGACAGTAAGTGTTTCCATGAATGAGGTAGAGAGAGATCTGGGAATGTGTGGCGGCTTGTGAGCAGCCAAAACACGATCTCAAATGCTCGGATGAACCACAGCTCTCCTCCTTTCCAGGGAAAAAGGCTATGGCCACAGAAAGCATTTTTAAACCGTTCTCCAGAATGGTACAGCAGGTTCTGTTCCCTTGCCAGGTCAATAGGTCTTAGAGTAATCTTTCCAAGACCCAATTGTTTTCACTTCTTGTAAACTCTGCAGTTTTCACCGGAGGCAAAGAGCCCCCGTCAACCTGTTCAAGACCTGTGCTATATTGCAGAGGTGCTGTTGCACTATAGCAAAAACATGCCTGAGCTGTTTCAAATGGGCAGTGGAGATGGGAGACGTTTGGCTGCAGCTGCTCCAGGCATGGAAATGACTTTGAAAACACAGAATATTTCTGAGCAGGTACAAGGATAGGTCTGATTTTTGCTGGGAGGAAGGACAAGACTGGGGTTTAGGTCTCAGTTCATCTCATCTAACCTGGCAGCCAAGCAGAGTGTCTATAATAGGACTGGAGTCGTTCTAGGTTTTTCTTTTAGTAGGAAGGTACGGGCTTCTTCCAAAGTCCAGATAAAACCTTATTAATCCTCTAGGTTAATGCATCTCTCTAGCATCTCTCTATATCTCTCCAGCATCAAAAAGAGAGAGGCAAAGTAACCTCACTCCTCTGCTGTGTTTTCAACATGACCCTTTGCCTTCGCAGACTCTGACGCTCTCAGATCTCAAGCCAAAGCGAGGCCCGGTGTCAGGTGGCACTCAGGTGACAATTACGGGCAACAACCTCAATGCAGGCAGCAATGTCATCGTGACGTTTGGGCGACAACCCTGCCTTTTCTACAGGTACAGCTGAATCCTTCCTACTGCATGTGCCTGAGTCTGTAAGATGTGAACAGAGAGAAAGATGGAGGAAAGGTTATTAGTGCAGACCTGTAGTGGCCATGCTTGCACATGCATGAAAAAAAAAAAAACCCCCCCCAAAAAAAAAAAAAGGTTTGTCCGTTGGCCTTTCACCTGTGTTGTCTGACCTCTGTGAGATTTGACCTTGGTGCTGTGCTAAGCAGGCAGCTACAAAGTGGTATAAGCAGTCCAGAAGGGAATTTATTTGTTTTCTCATGGCTCTGGTAGGGCACTGCTTCTCCTCACAAAGCTGACCTACTTTCTGGCAGTCACCACTCCTGGGTCCATTGTAACTGCAGGAGTCTTTGTGGATGAGGACCAAGGTCCATTGGTTGCATGTTGTGGGGTGATACCGATGCACCAGCCCTGGACCACTAACTGTTTTCTGTCCAAACTGAAAATGAGATTGAATACAGACTTATTCACTAGATTTTGTGAACACTGAATGCATTTAAGCATAGCCCATGCAAGAAATTAGAATACCCTTGGTGGCAGTAGCTCAGAAAGGGAGGGAATAGAAACCTGAAGACAGGAAAGAACTTCTCTTAACAGCCATGCAATTATAGTCAAAAGACCTCTTCTGCAGCCCAGGCCTCCTTTCCTCTGAATACCTCTCTTGCCTGTGGCCGCATCTGTTCTGCAGCAAGACTTTTGCATTCTGCCCCATACTCCATTAGAGCAACCTGACTGTGCATGTTTTGTGGTGGGAGGATAGGATTTATTTCATTGTTTTGATTAGTATTTGATGTACTTTTTCCATAGTCCCTTGTCAAATTTCACTGCAATTCTCCACGGTCCTGTGCTTAGCAACTTGTTCTGGGAGTGCATAGTGGAAAAGATTCATTTTCATGTCCTCGCTTTAGATGAGAGAAGAAAGAAAATCTGACAACATTGGTTCTAAGTATTAAAACACCTCCCTTTTATCCTAAAATAGTCCTGTAGTGGTGAGAAATGGGTGACTTACAGCATCCCAGCACTGAGTTGGCTCTTGTTCAATGGTTGTTCAGAGAGGCTTAATGTCAGTGTTACCTGCTGAATGTTTCCTGATCCCTGTGAGAATCAGCCTGAATCCAGTTCCCAGGGGCTCCTGCAGCTCAAAACACCCTTGTGTAATGCATTTTCCTGCCAGTATTGGTGGCGGCTGGGGATGAAATTGGCACACTCCTCCTAGCCCGCCTTTGGCAAAAGAAGTGCCCATTCACAGGGGACCTGGGACCACTATCTTGGGGCAATGCGCTTCCCTCTCCAGGCTGTGGGGATCCTGTTTAGCTGCCTGTCATGTAGTGTGATTCATCTTCTATAATTCAAGAAAGTGAAGCCACAGCCTGTAATTTAAAATCCAGGTGAGAATGACAGCTGCTTTGGGTTGCCTACAGAGGAGATCAGGGAACATTTCAAATGGGGCTGAACCCCGTCTTTCAGGAGAATGAGAAGAGAACCTGGAGGGTACCGTCAATGGGGGTAAATGCCACGCTGCAAGGGAAGGGTGGACCCTGTTTATCCTTTCTGGGTATGTAAGATAGGACTGCGGCACAAATCGCAGGGCTGGAAAGGCTGAGGGTGTTCAGAGCCTCAGTTCTTGGGTCTTTGCTGAAGGCAAGGCCCACTGAAAAATTCAGACTAGTTTTGAGCCCTGCCCAAAAGAAAAGGTTAGATGCAGAATCCTCCTCAAGTATTCTCATGTAATACTTCCCACCATAGCAGCACCTCCCATGCAAAGATACCAGGCATATTGCAAACTGCAGTTAAACAAGGCTTACAGTCCTACTGCAAAATGAGCTTTATTGACCCAGACCGGAGAGCTCAGGAACAAACACCCCTTTTTATGAGCTGCTGCTACATATGCCTGCAAGCAAGAAGGAAACATCCATCATGTATTTAATCACGCAGAAACATTTCTGGAGAGAGGCCTGTTTTGAACTTCTCTTGGGATTCAGTTTATATTTTGAGACCTGAGTAATGGTAGCTTGTGGCGTTATTTAAACTAGTGCAAAGGCACATGCCATTTCCTCAGACGAATGTGTCACACTATTTTCTGCATATTCCCACAGCATTGAGTTTCAGCACTTAAGAAGGCATAGGTTAAGGTCACAGGACATAAGAGTAGGCAGCAGGACTCCTTTCTGGTGTCGTTGTCTTGCTGCTGGCAGAGCCTGGTTTATTTATTCTTGCTTCCTCTCACAGGAGGTCCACCAAGCACATTGTCTGTAATACCACAGCTTCAGACGAAGGCTTTGAGAAAGTGAAGGTGTCTGTGAGAGTGGACAAGGCCAGGATCCATCAGGAGCTGCAGTATGAATATGTGGAGGATCCAACCATCCTGAGGATCGAGCCTGAGTGGAGCATCTTCAGGTAAGCATCCCACGAATATCCCCTGTCAACTCCCCATACTTCCTCGTGCAGCACTGATGTGTTCTTGTTTGGCCTTGATACAGCAAAGTGCTTTCCAATCCTTGTGTTCACTGGGAAATGGGTTTGTGCTGAGCTACTTCCCATAGCCCGAGAGCCATGAGATTTGATGGGCTGGCCTCGTGGGTAGACCTAAAACACCAGCACTGTGCTGTGCATTCACTGTAACACCTTAGTTGCTCAGTGTCTGTCTGCGGTTGTGTATAACCTTGGAACAAAATTTCCACAGAGGCTGGTGGAGGTTGAGCAGGAGCTAGGTCCTTTCTCCAAAGAAACTGTCTAGTCCAAGGCTAAATGAACCTGCACCCTGGCTTCACTAGTGGAGCACAGTTTCCTGACTTATGGTAGCAAAACTCAGCTGCAAATGCTCACTTGAAGCCTTCCTTGGGGACAGTGTGCTGACTGCTGTGATTACAAGGGCAGGTGGAGCAGGTCTCCAACCTGATGTTGAAGCTTTCTCCCTCTTTGCTGCAGTCCGTGGTTTATCTTCAGCATCAGGATGCTCCTTGTCTGCGGCTATTGCCATCCACTGGGTCTGGTTAAACCAAGGAGTTGCACCCCTGAAAGCTGCAATTCCTCATGTTTCTGGACATAACTGTGTTTCTGGCCCCGTTTGACTATGTCCACAGCCTCCTGTGGCAGCAATATTGGTCAAATGTCCATTGATCTCTTAGACCTAGTTATAAACATTGTGACCTTACTTAGGGAAGTAAATCTCCCTTGGATTTGAAAATAGCAGTTCCCACTTTTCCCACAGCCTTCATGCGCTTGCAGGCTTAGCATTAGGTATGACTTGTTTGGCCATAATGCCTGGAAGCCCCAGGATCATCTTCTGAGACAGAAACACAGAGGGAGCCCTGGTCCCTGCCCCATCAAAGGGTCTTCCTCCTTGTTAGGTCTCCCTTTTTCTCTTTGCTCCATTGACGCTGCTTTGATAAGTTCAGAGGGTTCACATGGAGGTGTCTGAGAGGAACATTTGCCCTGGATGTGGAAGGCATCAAAGCCTTACCCAATTGCCCTCAAAAGCCTACAAAAATGGCTTTGTGAAGGGAGACATTGGTCATTAAAACAGTGGTATTTCCTTGATGAGATACAAAATAAGAAATCTTAGCCTCCACTCTTTCAACCATTACAGTTCTCTGCTCCCCTGTCAAACTGGACTGATTGGAGTATCTGGGGATTAGGAGCAGGGCTAGTAAATCCCCCTGGTTCAGCTCCCTTCCAGAAGATGTTTTCACAAATCAATTAGTGGCTTTAATTACTGTGGAGGAATTAACCAATTCATCTGGATTGAATCTTTACACATTGGACTTGAAGCTTTAGCGCCCGGATTTTCCATTTGGGGGGTTTATTTTCAGTCGGAGTTTGGGTTATCGGTGAAATAAGAAATCGCTTTACTCCTTTCCTTATTAAAGTGAATGTAGTGCTGGTTAAAAGGTGTGAGATTGACAGCGCTGGAGAGTGAATTCCTCTATTATCCGCAGGAAAATTGCAGCATGGGTGCCTTCCTCTGCGTTGCTTCAGGCCTGACTGGTAGGTGGGAGGAGACATTCTCTAGAGCCTTGGTGTCTCTGCTGGAGCTGCTAGCCACAGAGACAGAGACACCAGCAGCGGTGGTGGAGCTGATGGAGGGGGGGCTGGCTGGGAGTGAGCTGTGATTCTCTTCATGTTTAATTAACAGCTACGAAGCAGCATGAGATCCTGGCCCTACAAGGGTTGGTAATTACTGCTAGTGAAGTCAGTGGAGGAACCGGCTCCTGAGACTGCAGCAGTCGCTTCAGCCTGCCTCCGCTGCCACATCACCCCAGGGTTATGGATCATTCCCTGTGACAGCCATACTGGCATTTTTGTCTCAGACCTGTCCTGGAGTGAGTGTGCTGGGGCTTGTCCTTGCCCTCCTAGGGCCACAGCACTCCTCATAAACCACCTGAGGTGGCTGGTGGTCATGATCTGTGGCTGCAAGAGCGATCAGCATTGCAGAAGAGGCTTGAGGTGCCTTGGCAGAGCTTCACCCAACGTGGGGTTGCAGAGTTTTAATGGACCACTGCTTGCTGCCTTGAATCTCCCATCACCCTTCCTATCATAAGGGAAGTTAAGAAGAGATGCTTGTTTAGCGGGTGCTAGCTTACATGCAGGATGTGTAGCTGCTAGCGTGGATGACTGGGACTCTATCTGACTCATCATTCAGGTGCCACCTCACCTCCACTGCTCACTAAGGTGTCTCTGAAATCAGAAAGCATCCACTTGAGCAGCAGCATGTGTCAGACATCTGCCAGATCTCACCTCATCTCTGCTTTCTTGCCCTTTCTTTTGCACTTTTGAATCACTCCAACAGGTCAGGTCATAATCTTGGAGAAGGGTGCAGAGAGATAAGATGCTATATCCAGGATTACTGCTGTGAATCAGGGTGTCTGGGACCATTTTATGCAGTATAACTGCTAACCTGTGGATCTCCATGCTGCAGATTGTAACTGAGACAAGCATGAGAGTAAGGCTTTCAGAAGGAGTTGGGAGAATGTGCAGCCAAGTCAGGCTCTGAGAACCAAACAAAAAATAACTTAGTCAAGACAAATGGATCCCAAAGTAGACTAAGGAGGGTCTTCCTCGCTATATTTGTTATGCAGTATAATTCATTCCACCAAATCCACTGTACTTTTCTGATTCATCACTCCTGGCTGTGGGGCTAAGCTGTTTTGAGGGACAGATGATTGCTACTAAACCGGCTTTGCAAAATTAGGGAATGAATGTATCCAGTCTGGCTTAAAACCTTCTCAAGTACCATTTTCCAAGACAATAAATGAAAGATTACTGCTAATTTACTTACATAGCCAAAAAAAAATGAGTCACACTGGGTTGGCAGGTAACTAGAATTTTATAAGGCTTTGTTAATACATTTGATCTGGGTTTGATTTGAGTTACATCCAACAATTATCTGAATTTGCAGAGCTCATGCTCAGAGTCTTCTGGACAGCAAGGAGTTAAATTAAGAAAGTTCCTAGGCTTGACACCTTTATTATTCCCATTTCCCATAGATGAGTTGTTCCAGTAACTCGCTGTCTAAGCTGTGAGTGAGAGTGGGGACAGGCAGGCCAAAAACATGAGAGGTAAGAAGGACCAGAAGCAATCATCAGGGCTGTGTGTTATCACACTCTCTGCCACCCGTTGTCTCTGTCACCCACCGTTTCTCAGGAACGGAGATAAATGTAGTGAGGTTCTCATGCTGCTTCCCATTACCGAGTGGAGAGGTCTTGCTGCAAGCCATGAACCAAGGGAGCTGTTGAGAGAGACCCACACAGCACTGGGGCTGCTACTCACTCCTGCAGTCAAGGGGAATTTCCCTGAATAGACCACGCTGTGATTTATGGCCGAGGAAAAAGATCAGAGATGCAGGAGAAAAAAAAAAAAAGTGCACAAGCTTGGAAACAAGTAGATAGTGTCAAGATCTGGGAAGGGGCAGCAGCAGGATATGGGAAGGCCAGCACGATGGTGAACACCAAGGCATGGGTGAGAGTGGAGGGAGGGGGATACTGCTACCGTCACTCTGACATAACCTGGGGAGGGGGGCCAGGACCCGGGCACAGAGTCCTACTGCCAGTGCTGGAGGCTGCATTTCACTGGGTTGCCATGTCCCTCCTTGCTGTGATCTAACAGGGGCAAGAGGTGGCTGGGACTGGTCGTTGAATCACAGCCAAGGAAGGCAACGGCTATCGGCTTGAACAGGAAGGCAAGTGGCATGACACTTGCCTGCTGGCACGACAGTGTGGATTTTGTGCCTTCAGCAATCACCAATGTCTTACTTTTTTTTTTTTTTGAAGAGAGAAGGCCCCTCTCTAATCCAGTGCTGTGACCATACTTAAAAATTGTGGCCTGAACCTACCAGCTCAATTTCCAAACCAAATACAGTATTTTTAACACATGTTTTAAAACTATGTGCAGACTTAGTTGATTAAATAAAAGGATTTATATTTCTATATATACATATCTATATATATACACACACACTCACATATATATATCCCTATATATACACACATTTAATATGTCTGGAACATGTAAAACTCTCAGCTGAGTAAAAATACAAGCTTCTAGCTTGAATCAGCAGAGATTCATAATAATTAACGCCTACAGCCAAAAATCCAGAAGAACCAGGATAATGGAAAAATAAAGGCTTAGTTTATGCACTCTTCTGGTTTCTGGAAAGCAAATTCTCTCTGGCTGATGTCAGGAACAGTTAACATGAAGATGAATTTTGGGAGAGGGTATTTCTGCTCATAAGGTAGGGAGGGGGAACCCTCTTATAAGTGGGTATGTGACCTCAGAAGAGATTCCTTGTGCATTCAAGAGAGCTCAGCCACTCCAGAGGCCCTCATAGAAACAGAAGACATGCATTTGCCCCGTAGAATTTCCTGCTGGAAATTTCCCATTCCACCTGATGATTTCAGAGAGCAAGAACTTAAAACACTCTGCTAAACTCAAGGCCAAACGAGATCCTAATCATGGATCAGGCTGCATAGGTGTTCATTGAATGAAAGACCCTAAGAAAACTCTGAGAGAAGTGTCTCAGGAGCTCCTGCAGAAAGATGTGGTGTGACTGTGCTTGTTGGTAGAGCTCCTGGCTCTACCATTAGCTACTGAGAAAGATTTGAGGTTTTTTGCCAGGCTATGATCAGATCCTTGTTGTGCTAGGATTTATCACGAAAAGCAGCTCCTTGTCTTGAGAAGATGACAAGGGCTTTTTACTGCAATAAAAGGACCCTCGTCACACCTCACGTCCTGCACCCTATTTCTCAGATGACTTCAAATTCCCAGTCTTCTTAGAAACAGCCCCAGAGGCTGTTTCTAAACCAGCAAAAAAAAGAATCCAGTGCTATTATTTGGTACTGAGACCAGCTAGCACGCACAGCCCCCATCCGTACTGCCAAATGAGATTTCATCCTTCAAAGGCAACACAGCCACAGCTGTCCTGCTTACTGAGAGAGGTCACTGGCCCATGTTATTCCTTCAACCATGACCAGGCATTGGGAGGGTGCTAACTAAGGTAGTCAAAACCAAGCCAGGGTACTTGTAATGATTTAATAGTATGGATGACCACCAGCCAGCGTCTGAGCTGACGCTCTGGCCCTGCTCATCAATGTGGATATAGTCAGAGGGGCTGAAGCACAGTCCCAGCTAGTTGCAGCCAGCCTATAGAAACTTGATAGCTGCACTGCTGAGCAGGAAAGTATATTTGCACTTGTATCCTACCTGCCCCAGCTGATTAATAATGGAAGATGCATGAGAAATATGGGAAACAAAGGTCAGAACTGGGGAACAGCTGTTGGCCAGCAAAGGCTTCTTCCTTATAGTGTATTATTCACCAGTGTTTTTCTCTAGTTTCATTTATAATGCACATGTTTTACATTGGTTGTATGTGGAGTTTTACCTGGAGGCAGAAAAGGGTTGCTGGGCTTTCTTTTCCCAGTGTCACGTAAATCAAATTTCTGCATGGTCTCCCCTCCTGTTCTCTGCAGCGAACTCCAAGAAATAAGTTGCAGCTTGGATAGTTTCCAGGAGGAGTTGCACGGGCAGATGTTGAAACCGCTGAGAATACTCCCCATCCTGGGGAACCTTCGGCTCTTCAGCGGAGATAGCGCTGTCCATTGATGAGTCTTCTCTCATCCTGGCCTGGCTGTATGAGCCCTGACACCTCAGGCCTTTGCTCGCTCCGTTAATCTTCCCCACTTCACTTCCCCCTTCAGCCAGCCCTTGCAGCACATCGCCCCATCCACAGGAAGCTGAATACTGCAGAAGGCGAGGGATATTTCCTGGTAGGGAAATGCTATTCTTATTTGGGATAGCCAAACCTGCCAGTGCTGAACCTTTGGTCTGCTTTAAATAGACTGGAGAGAAGGAGTGGAAGCTACTACTCAATGCTCCTGCCTGTTACAATGCTCTTTTTATATACTGCTCTCTTTAATTGCACCTCGAGGCAGCCCATCCGTCAGTTCCTACGGAGGCCTGGGAACGTTGCTGTGCAGGTTTCCTTCCTCCCGCTCCTCTGTGCCCCGAGTCCTACAAGGAGCAGTGCTGACTGCAATCAGAAGAGGCAAGTGTGAGGAAAGAAGGGTGTTTCTGAAAGCCATTTCCTTTTGGTGACATTGATTTCAGGGAGTGAGAAGGGCTCTGTCTACAACTCTGCTTCTTGTGCTGAGCCGAGATGGATCTTATAAAAGTAAGGAGGTTTACCAAAAGCAGTACTGGGGTGTATATGAATCAGCCGTCTCAGGAAATTAGGCCTTGCCTGAACAGAGGAACATAGTGACTAGAAATCTCTGTTCCATCAAATCTCGGCACTAACACACATTGCAAGGCTTATCTGCCTGGGTAACCAAATGGAAACCAAGCAAATGCCTTGTTCATAGCAAGTCTGAAGACTTTAGCTCTGTTTCTTCTAGATGCTGTAGGACCTGTTTCCCCAGTTGTCTCCAGCCAGCAGCACTGAAGTGGTTTCACTGAGATGATAACATTTCTCCACTCAGAGTGATGCTTTCTACAGCAGGTTTAATATGCCAGAAGGGACAAGAAACTCCAATTGAGATATCTCTGTATCCTCAAGAGAGGTTCTCTGTTAGTTTTGCGGACTCCCTGGTTTAGGTCATATAGGGAATACAGTCAATGGAGCATTTCTGAAGACCTTCTCTTAGATTTCTGGCTCTTCTTTTATTACCAAAGCCTATGATTTCTTGCGTTCAGACAAAGAAGGACACCCAGATGCTGCTTAATGTGACAGTTTTACCAAAAATTCAGGTTTACTTCTTTCTCCCCTTATGATTTAAGGAAAATTGTTTGCTTATTTTGTTGTTTTCTTTTTCCCCCTTCCTTTCCTGGGGAGCTGTGAGATGTGGTCAGGCCCTCTGTAAGTAACATTCAGGAAAGAAGTGTAAGTTGTGAGAAAGGCAGGAAAACAAGGAAATTTCAGCTATTTCCCATAGATTAGAAATGACAGAAAAGTATTCCCTTTCAGAAGAGGTACCCATCCCTTCCACAGAGTGAACAGTATCTCATATCCAAGGCATTCAGCAGAAATGATAGTAGTTTGACTGCCTGGAAATTTGCACCTAAAAAACGCCTCCGTGATTTTTTTTTTCTGAAATTGATAAATGAGAAAAAAATAAAATAAATAAATACAAATAGTTCACAAGGACAGGAGTACAGGAGTCTCTGTCTGTGTGACTGAGGAGCCTGTCTAGAGCTGCCTGTCCATGGTAGTGTTCACAGATCACCCACTGCTGGTGCACTCAGTCCGGGTATTTGTTAGCTGGCTTCATGTTCTTCCTTCATTTCTTCTTGTCTAGTGGCAACACACCTATTGCAGTGTGGGGAACTCACCTAGACCTGATCCAAAACCCTCAGATCCGGGCAAAGCATGGCGGGAAAGAACACATCAACGTGAGTATTTCTAGGATCGCGGAGAAGAATGTGTCCAAGAAGGTGAGAGGGGCTAGCTGACAGCTCTAGAGGTTGAAATCCTCTAATTTATCTTGAAAAGAAAGTACGACTTGCTTGCAGAAAGATTGCTTCACCTTCTCCCTGCCAAAGAGCACTGGATCAAAGAAGGAATGAGGAGCATCAGTAGCTGCTAAACAGCTCCACATGGAGCTATAAGTGAGTTTAGTACCTCCAATTAGGAGACTTAGGAGCACACAGCACCTGCTGCACCCCACAGTAAGTTGGAGGATGAGGCCATGTTACTGCACCTGAAAAGGTGTTGGCTGTGTATGGACACCTCTTAGGAGCAAATGTTAAAGAGCATCCCAGGAGGACAGGCTCCCAGAAGGAAAAAGCACACAGAGACTAATTTGTTGGGGGGAAAGAAAGTCCGTGACAAGGTGGAGTTTTGTGTTCTGAGGACTTTCCTTAGTCAAGTCTCTGCTGTTATGATCAGGCTTAATGCAGATTTGGTCTCTATTAAGCGGACGAGAGAGAAGGAGTGGAAGTTACTGCTCAAAGCCCTGCCTGTTACGATGCTCTTTTTATATGCTGCTCTCTTTGATTGCACCCTGGGACACCAAAGTGGCTCACTCCTCTTGGCTTGTGTTTCAGAAAACCAGAGGGTAGTGAAGATGCTGGCTCCTACATATCCTTTCCTGCATGTATTTCTGCTGCTTCCTGCAGCTGCACTCTCTAGCAGTGAGTCCTGACTGTATCAGACTCCCTTCCTCTGCCATGAAGATTTCTAAACTCAAAAGGTTTTTGGGCTGGCCTGAGCAGCACTGCTACAGTTTAGCTCAGCAAAAAAGCTTTGAGGGCTGATGAAGGAAGGGCTGCCTAGCTTATTACAATGGCCAACTGAGCAGTGCGGAGAGGGATGACAGATGGAGGGTGAGAGAAGCCCCTTAGTTCCTGATCAATTAGAGATGTGTGTTGTTGGAAGGGGTCTCAGGAAGTGCAGGCTAACTTCTGCATCACCCTTTGTTAAGCAAACAGACTTTCTAGTACTAACAGTGTTACTGGTACTTGCCAGGGACCTGTGGAAAGAAGAAAGCCAGAATTTTCTTATTGTTATTCTGCCTTTTTAACTCTGTTAGTTGAAGACCACCCGCTCCTCTGCAACTCTCAGGCTGTAAAATTAATCCCTGGTCTTCTCTAAGACTTTTCACCAAAGGATCTCAAAGCACTTTGCAGACAGATGTTACCTAAAATAGCCCACTGTAACATGAACAATGGTGAATTTGTGGTAGATCCAAAAAGAGAATGCAGGAATATGGAGTAGATTTATTTATAGTCTGTAGTGTGCAGATGAAGTTTAGGTGTCTCCATACCTATCTCTTAGCCCAGTTTTGCCATGAACTATCTCCCTTCTGAATCCAATACAACTTTGATCACCTCTCATACCCCGAAGATATTTCAGAGAATACTTTTTGAGGTTGATGTCTGAGTCTTTTATGGTTTGGCCTATGAGATGCCAAACATCTACGACTGGACTGCAGGAATAGAGCAGGCAATCCCAGTGTCAATCCTGATTGGAAATCCTTCAATTCCTCATGAACTCTGGAACAATGCTGGGGCAGCTGGTTATGTATGTATGTATGTGTGTACGTATGTACTGGGAATGTGTTGCATTTCCAAGTGCAGCACTGCAAAACACTTCTCTAGCTTCTACACAAGATTAGAAGTCTGCACAACATGTATCTTGGTCTGCCAGCAGACTCCAGCTCTTACCTGGCACAGTGGTCTCAAACAATCGTGCCATTGTGCAGCTCATGAAGCCTATTCCAATCTCATATGCGCCCGTGGAGAACTGCCCACTAGCTTTACATGGGGAAATAGAGACCCCAGCTGTTGGATACAAAGCAGACATGAGCTGCTCTCCGTGGTAGAGTGGTTTTGAACTGGTGAACTTCAATGTCTCTGCACACAGTCATATCCTAACCTAGTAGATGAGCAACCGAGTGAACTGCTGCTTTTCTTGTGCTCTTTACTTGGTAAAAGCTATTGCAGCAAAGACCAGACTTACTTTGCAACCTGAATCTGGCTTGGTCCGAGTCACTTCTCTCTCTGTTGAGTTGAGCTGAAGCAATATTAGCCCTTGAGCTGTGCTAGCTGTGGTATTGACTGTACAGCTCCACAACAGTGGAGCTACCAGGGGCATTTGGAGAAGATGCACATATCAAGCACAGCTGGAGCAAGGGTGTTGTTTTCCCAAAGAGCTGGATGGTTTCAGGCGACACCAGGATGCATGGTGCTGGGATGCATTGCTAGCATCAAGCTCAGATCTTGGAGAAAAAAAAAACATTAACTAATTCCTAATTATTTCAAATGGGAGGTAGGGGATACAATACCTTTCCCAACCTATTGCCTGTGTCTCAAGTATGCAAAAAGCAGGTCAGTGGCAGGGCTGGCATTGAACTTCAAGTGTTCAGACTCTCCAGTGTCTTCAAATGTAGCTTCCTGGGCTACATTTCAGGTAACTTGATGTTCAAACAGGAATCTTAGCCAAAATTGAGCTTCCACTGCAGTTTTGGAGTGATCCTCGTAGTGTGAGAGCTAACTGTGGAATGGTAGTGCAGCTTTGACTAGCCTCTGCCGCACAAAAGAGGAAGAACTTTGTGTTCCCTGAAGGAAACAGGTTTAAGGGAATATGCCGATACTGGCAACCCAAGAAGCCAGCCTTCCTCAGGGAAGACACACAGCATGGCCAATTGCAGTGCAAATTACTCCACACACCTGTCCCAGCAAAACTTTCCTAATCCCTTCTCAGCCTTGATCTCTTTCTGGGGATGAGGTATGTTTTGAAGCAGTGCTATGCCAGCTGTATCATGATAACCATGAAGGTCTGTTCCTTGCTGTCCTATGGCAGTATGCAGGCCAGTATTTCTTTGGGTGGTATTTGTCTACCAGTAGGTCTGTGGGCATTTTTGATAAAATCTCTTTGTACTGGGTTTTTCCTTCCAGAACTGCGAGGTGCAGAACTCCACGGAGATGACCTGCCAGGCTCCAGCATTGGCTGTTGACCCCAATCATCAGTCTGAGCTAGCCGAGCGTCCAGAGGAGTTTGGCTTTATTCTGGACAATGTGCAGTCCTTGCTGATCCTCAACAAAACCAACTTCACCTACTACCCAAACCCAGTCTTTGAGGTTTTCAATCCCTCGGGGATACTGGAGCTGAAGCCAGGAAGTCCTATCATACTGAAGGTGAGATGGAGACCCAGGACAAAGTCAAACGTGTCCTGTTTTTTTCTATACCATATCCACCAGGACCCCACTAATCACAGCGGTGTCCTGAACATGTCCCAGACATTTCTTCTACTCACAGCACTCTATCCGTCATGTCATTGCATCCAGCAGGACCTTATGAGATTCACCATCTCACAACACCATACCATTCACTGACAAGAACTTGTTAATAACCTGGTGCATCCTTATCCATAATTAAAGCAAATGTAAACTCCTACTGTAGCTACTTGTGTGTAAATCAAATTTGCATCAGTTACTGTTCACCAGAGGGCATTTTCCACCACTGTGGCAGGACTGACAATAAAATATCCATGTCTATCTCCTTTCGGGGTTTTAGACACCATTCTCTCACCCCTAGGCAAATCCCACACCAGCCCTTTGTCATTTCGGTAAACCAGACAACAAGAGAAAAAATAAATTTTATGATCGAACATTTCCGTATGAGCTCTTGTATGTGGTGCATATGCAAAGAGACGATTATATATGCAAGAGTATCTTCTGGCACATTTGGAAAGGGGTCTGTTTTACTTGTCTGAATATATTCTGTGATGGCCTGTTTGTGCAGGACTTATCTGCAATATTTCCCCATTACTACCAGAGAAAGAAGCAGGGCAGGCTGTTTTGACTCGTAACAGTTTGTACCCATCCATATTGTCTTCTGCTCACTTTTCTAGATTGGCCGTTCCTCGCTAAGTTAGTGAAGGGTGAATTAGGAATTCCATATGCAATATTAATACTTTTGTCACAGAAGCAAACCAGAGATAGAAGGCAAACTTGTTGCTGATTTTTTTTCTTTTTTTTGGTGTGGGGGGGGTGATATTCCTTTCTATTCAGGGCAAGAACTTGATCCCACCAGTGGCAGGAGGGAATGCCAAGCTGAACTACACTGTACTGGTTGGTGAGAAGCCCTGTGCGGTGACCGTATCAGACGTGCAGCTGCTTTGTGAGTCTCCAAACCTCATTGGACGGCACAAGGTGATGGTAAGTGGTGCTTGAATCTCAACCTTTCTGTCTTGGGCAGATGGGAGTCTCCTGGGAGTCTGCATCACCTTTTGTCTTCCATAGATCTCACAAACTTTGTGGCCCCTTCTTGATGTAAAACCCCCATCAGTCCTAGAAGAGTAACTTGGAAATCCTTACGGACAGTGACAGACCTCTCATAATCAAAGTCCTTTAGGAAAGCTTACTTCTCTTCTTTCTTCATATCGACTGTACAAACTCCAGATGTTCATATGAATTCATATACGCAGTATACTCCCTGCATGACATACTATGTTAAATTCAGCACTGTTCCCAGCAATTATGAACACGCTGGTGGTTAAAATTTGCCTTTATGTGGGAGAATAAGTATGGTGAGTATAGAATCTAGTGTGACTGAAGTGCAAGGATTTGACATCTGTATAACTTAATATAATCTTGCATATTCTTCCTGGGATCTATGAAAAATGACCACAGTGATTACATTGGAGGGAGCTTCTCCTCCTCTCTCCATTGATTTATGCACTCCTCCTTTACTTTCTTCTCAGTAATTTGCATGCCTCAGTGCTGTTGCTTGATAAACAGCACATCAGCAAAATCATCTGATTTGTACAGAGCTGTGGGTGGAAACACAGTGGAGGATAATAGCTGGCATCACACATATGGATGATCAATGTTTCTCATTGCCTGTCATCAGCTTCTTTCCACCTCTCTATTCCCCTCTCAAAAATATATCTGTTATATATTTATTTATTTCAAAGCAGTGAAACTTTTAGAGTTGGTGGAGAGAAATTGCATGGGTTCTCTGAAAAGAGTTTTCTGGAAACTTTTTGAAAATAGAGAGTTCATGGTCACCATCCTGGGTCCCATTTGTGGCTACTGCTGATGTGTTGAGAGACCTTGTATTGGCTACTTAACGTCTCTGTGCCAAAGTCCGTCGTCTGGAAAACAGAGATAATAATCTTTCTCAGCTATACTGTGGCTGTTGTTTCATTGTAAAGCACGCTAAGACTCTCCAAAAGAAGCAGTAATGAAGTGAAAGACTTTTTCTCTGAATCCCAAAGCTTTTGAACATGGCAATATATTTTCCTTATCATTTTCATGGATGTAATTAAATACGTGATTAGTCAGAGATTGACAAAGCCAATGCTAGAGAGAGAAAACCCAAAGTCAGGTGAACAGTAATCAGTCCTTGGGGTTCAGAGGAGGGTGAACATAGAGCCAGGCCTTATCGGCTGTGAAGACTCTCCTGTTATGCAGCTTGGGACTGGTCAAGTGAAGTCACAGGAAAAAAAAAAATGCTTTTTTGAGGAGGCTGGTCAAACAAGAGATGCTGTTAGAAACTTGGGAAGATGATTGTGCTGAAGCCTGTTAATAAGCATCAGTGTTAGGAACAAGTTATAGATTTGTCTTTAAATTGCCAACACTGAGACAACTGTTTGAGAGTGTCTGGGCTGAAAACTAAACACAGAAGGTTACCTGCGGTGGAAGCCAACGTTCAAGGATGAACTTTGCATCTGGAACTAACCAGGAGGACAGCTGGGCTGGGAAATGCCTCCTCCAGCATGACAAATCGTTCCTATTACTGGAGTTGGTACAAAATGTCTCCCTGTGTTTCACATGAACGTCACTCTGATGGTCAGGATAATTGACAGGTAGCTCTCTCAGGTCCTCTGCCAGCTTCTGCCAGTGATTTACTGTGTGACCTTGAGCAAATTGCTTAACAAACCCTTTCTTGCAAAGTGGTGTAGCCTAGATCTGAGAGGGGGGACTGTGTGTGCAACTAACCCCTGCAACACTGAGATTATTTTAAAGGAAGAAACATTAAGTGACAGCAACATATATTAATGCTACCATGTCCTTGCTCTAGTTCAGCTGTCTTTTTCACAGAGTTAAATACTTAACAGATAGAAAAAACAAATAAACAAACAGCAAAAAAAAAAAAAAACCCTAAAAGGCCAGATTGAAGGCCAGCAAAGATTCACTAAAATCCATAGGCAAGATCTTTTCCAAGGGAGAAACAAGGATGAAGAAGCTCCATGAGTAACTGAGTGGAGAAAGACTGCAATGAAGACGTGTAATACATCTGACTGAGTATAAGCATTTGATGTTAGAACATACATCTGGAAAAGTTACCCTGGACTTTTTGCATAGTGAGCAGAGAGGTGGTCAAATACAGCAATTGGAGCTCAGGACACAATTCATCTCATCCTCATTTACATTCGATCAGGGCAAATTTGCCCTGGGAAAGACCCTCCCCCAGTCAAGTTTACAGATAGTCCTGAACAGCATTGTGGTAGCCTTGAAGAAGCCAGATAGTCCTGAACAGCGTTGTGGTAGCCTTGAAGAAGCATCACCCAGCAGGATTACTGTTTGGAGCAGTGTTCGTGCAAAAGTGGGCTCCCAGCAGATCTGCTGCAGCAGAGCGTTTTGTTCTGCTTGCAGCAGCCCTGCCTGCAGGTTTCTTTTCGGCTGTTGGGACCACGGCCTTCACACAGCAATTTATCCCAGACACTTGCAGAAGCCCTGAGAACCTCTGGGAGTGCACGGAGAACAGACAGCTGTCTTCTGCTGTCTGCCCAGATGGTGACCATCTGAAGTCTCTTTACTACCAGGACAAACCAAAGCATGTGGCTAGCAGATAAATTGCAAAGGGCTTGGGCCAGGCTCTGTGTTTTTGTTTTTTTTTTTCCCCTATCCCAGTGGCTTCCAGATACGGTTTTCTCAACTATAGTTTTCAAAAGCAAATTATGACTCTGTGATTTCTACATCCCCCTTGTCCTAAGCACTGCTGCGTCAACTACCCAAGTTTGATGTCCCTTGTCCCATAACGAGGTTAGGACCCATCAAGCCTTTCCCAAGAGCCACGTGGCCTGTATGTTTGTTGGCTTCAAGTGGAATCAGAGTGGTGCAGCAAACATAGCCACTCATGGGAAGGGATTAGAAAACCCAGGGCATTGAAATTGGTAAGATTTGTCTCACTGAAAGTCTTTTGTTGATCTGAATCCCGGTTTCTCTACCACCGGAGCTGATTCAACTTGGTATTTCAGGGGTTTTCAGCAATTTCACATCCAGGTATTCGTGCCCTGTTTAGCTTGGGAGACAAGGGGAGGTCACCGTTCATATGCTATTGCTTGAGTTTGTATTGCACAACAGCCTTAGTTTGAGGAGGGTGGCGCAGTTCCTCTGTTCATATGCTATTGCATGAGTTTGTATTGCACAACAATAGTTTGAGGAGGGTGGCGCAGTTCCTCTGTTTCTGCTTGTTCAGGAGTTTTAATGTACTAGCTTACTGCAATTTTTTTCCTGCCTTCCCTCCAGGCTCGAGTAGGAGGAATGGAGTTCTCTCCAGGGATGGTCTACATATCTCCAGATAGTCCTCTCAGCTTGCCAGCTATTGTCAGCATTGCTGTGGCTGGTGGCCTGCTCATCATCTTCATTGTGGCTGTGCTGATTGCATACAAGCGCAAGTCCCGAGAGAGCGACCTGACCCTCAAGCGTCTGCAGATGCAGATGGACAACCTGGAGTCCAGGGTTGCGCTGGAGTGCAAAGAAGGTAGGATGATGAAGGAAAGCTGAGGAGAACCTTTTTATTTATATTACCTATTTTATTTTTAAAGAGATCCTTAATAGGGAGAGGTCAGACAGAGGTTCTCCTGAGCTGAAATGTCTCATAGATCTGGCTTATGGTTAGTCTGATCCATCAAAATCAACCACTACCTTTGAATATGAAAGCTTAGCTCATTTCAGGTACCAGATATGCCAGTGTGCATTGCAGAGAGGAATCCAGCTACAAAGCTTTGAACTAAATTGTCACCAGAGGACCCTGGTGTTGAGCCCTTTGGGTCTGGCTCAAGCCTAGATCTAGGTCTGGCTTTGCTCATTTTGCCTGAGTAACCAGCCTTGCTCGAGCCCATCCTAACTGCATTTTTTTCAGTCCAGGGGGATCCTTGGCCCTTGGCCCTGGGGAAAGGCTGTATGAAGGGAAAGGTGAGACTGCTCTTTTCCACCTTCGTCTCCACATGTTGCTTCTCCAGTCGTACCTTAGTCTCAGTTTACCCAGGACATATACAGGACTGAGTGCCTTTATCATCATGGCAAGTGAGATCTGGACTGTCATTGCTCCATAATGGGTCATCTTTGTGTTAGCTTTTGCAGAGCTGCAGACAGATATTCATGAGCTGACAAGTGACCTAGATGGAGCCGGGATCCCGTTCCTTGATTATCGAACCTATACCATGAGGGTGCTTTTCCCTGGTATTGAAGACCACCCAGTCCTGAGGGATCTGGAGGTATGAAATCAACATCTCCTGCTGCTGGGTCATCTCGTTCCTCCTTGTTCTGCCCTGAATGCAAGAGGGTAGGGTTGTGTTGGGGGTAGGGACATGGTGGCTTATGATGCTATGTCTTACAAGAGACAAAACAGCACCTCATAAAAGCCTGAATGGGAAGGGGAGAATGACTGTTGCTATCTATCTTAGATGTTAAATTCTTGCATACTGTTTGATCACTCACTTATTTGGAAGAGTACCATAGTTGTTTGTGTGCTAAGTCCACTGTATTATGTCCCTTCTGGGTGTCTCTCCTCTTGAGGTTTGCTTTGGAAGCTGAATTTATTAGTTGCGGCTGAACAGCGGCCTGGAAAAAAGGATTGTAGCAGAGTTGCAGAGCTGTCTGTGTCACTGCAGTTTTGCTGATGCTGACACTGCTCAGAATCCCTTTTCCCTGGCAACACGTGTAGAAATGACGGATGGTCACCAAAGGAGGTTTGCATTTGCTGTGCTCTGTAGCTGCAGGGCTCTGTGGTTTGGAGAGAAGTTAGAAACCCACCGCATCTGTCTGACCACATACTGCTCACATGTGCCTCCTCCAGCCCAACTCTCCTGACCTGGTGGTGGGAGGAAGGGGAGAAGTTGGCAATCACTGTAGAGGTTTGCGCACTGCCTGAATTACCTTACTGGCAACAATGAGTTTGCCAGACCTTGGGTGATTTCCCACTGAAGGCCTGTCTGTGCTGCAAAACTGGTTCAGGCCTTGGCAGGATGGACAGTCTCTGCTCTCGAGATACCTGGGCGGGAGTAGCTGGGGATATACCATGGCCAAGACCAGGGTGATCCTTGGCTGAACTCTCTGCAAAGTCTTTGGCAAACTCTGCACTTCAGAGAGGCTTTGGCATGGACTAGTAAGGACTTGCCTGAGGCCAAGACTGCAGTTAGCTGGCAGAGTTGAAGAATAGGAGCTGGCAGAGGCAATACCATGCTTGGCTGGCTATGTACTTAGAGGTGCCTACTATTCTTTGCTCCGTCTCTTCAGGAGGACCAAACTTCATCCAACTATATAGGGAGAACTAATAAAAAAAAAATTTCTGGCAGCAGTACTGATGAGGCTAGCCACCCTCTGCTTGTCAGCCAAAAGAAGTGCTGAGGACTTGTAGCAATGGCCAGGAGGTTGTGTTACACATTATTGTAGGGGTAAACTTTTAGGGTGCAGGTGAGGTGGCCTTGGGCTGCTTTCACTCAAGAAGAATAGCTCAGCAGCTTCACAGAGTTAACACACAACGTGAGGGGTGATTCATTTTTCTCTTGCACACATACACACAAGCACTTTTATCACACCTAGGGTCTGTTTCAGCCCCTAAATTCACTAACCGTGGTCAGCTGACCGCAAAGTCGTGTCTGCCTCCCACAGTTTTTGGCATGGGTGCACCCATATACAGATACCCACAGAGAGATATAACACACAGAGATTTTGTCAAGGCCAGTGAACCTTAAAAAACCATCCAGCCCTTACGAGCTACTGTTTCAATCTGCCACCTTTGATCTCTTCTTCCCTTTTTCATTAATCTTTCTATGCCTGCCTCACCCCCCCCCCCCAATACAATGTAAAGCTACAACAGCTCTTTCAATGTCAACGTCTTTGGCTACCGACAAAGCAGGGAAGGCATTTCGCATTCTGTCCTCTGCTCTGTAGCACCTGGAAGGAGTTAAAACAAAGAAACAAACAACATCAACAAAAAACAATGCCAAGAGTTACTTGCCCAGGAATCCCCATCGATGCTATTTATTAGTAAAAGGCCCCAGCATAGAGTTTTCAGTGAGCAGGTCTTACTTATTTCCAGCTCATTTGCTAATTAACTGCTTCAAGATGCAGTACAAAATACTTTCTTTTTATTCATTTATTTTTTTAATTCCCCATAATAACCTGAGGGTAGACAATATTAAATGTTCAAGTAAGTGAACTAAAAATAATTATTAGCAGGGTGGGTGGTAGTGGTTGTTTGTTGGCTGTCTCTAGTTATTTATTAAGTTATTTAGTAATTTTATTTGCTGAATGCAAAAAGAGCTAAGATCTCTTATTTCTGGGATAAAAAAGTAATGACCCCCAAAGGAGCCTTGCATTACTTGGGTATTTAAGTACACAAAGTTTTGTCGGATTGAAGTGCTAAAGCTGTGTGGTTATTGATGCATACATGCATCCACGGCATGTGCGCTCTGTGGTGTGGCTCTCCAACTTCCAGGGAAGCTTTTTGAAGGTCTGAGACAGCTCCAGCAACATTGAGGAATGAATTTGGGGTTTCCAATTAGGGCTGCGTTGGTGAAGCAAGTAAAAGGATGGAGTATATCCACGGAGTATGTCTTCCTTTTTGTCCAGAGCTGGAAGGATGGGGGAGGATTTTAATTCTCTTTGCTGTTTGTAGAAGCTTTGCCTTTTCCCTGTCCCAGATCAGACTTCTGATCAATTTTGAAGTCTAAAGTTGCATGGCCTGACTTGGAGGAACTGGAAGGTTGAGGACAGAGAGGTATAAAAGGGAAATTATGATCTATTTGGCAGTGGCGTGACAGTGGGCAGTGAGTCCTTTTCTTCTTATGCAGGTCCCTGGCTATCGCCAGGAGCGGGTAGAGAAAGGCCTGAAGCTCTTTGCCCAGCTCATCAACAACAAGGTTTTCCTGCTCTCCTTCATCCGCACGCTGGAGTCCCAGCGCAGCTTCTCCATGAGGGACCGCGGCAACGTGGCCTCGCTCATCATGACCGTGCTGCAGAGCAAGCTCGAGTATGCTACTGATGTCCTCAAGCAGCTCTTGGCTGACCTCATTGACAAAAATCTGGAGAGCAAGAATCACCCCAAACTGCTGCTCCGGAGGTAAGTGATTCTAGGTGCCTGGGACTGCACTGAGTGGGGCTGGGCAGCACGTGCCCCACTGTCTACCGTAAGCATGATAGTCTCCTTTTGCTGCCCAAGCCAATCTGTTGGGTTTTGGTTTGTGCGGCAGGGTGTGAAATCAGGGCGGTACTGAGTCCCCACAACCCTGTAGGGTCGGCACAAAGCAGTTTGCAGGGGGAGGTGAATAAGGCGAGTAGAGCTAAATGGATGCTGAATTAATACTTCATTTATACCTACGTTTCCTTTTGTCCTGAACGCATCCAATCCAATTGTATCGTGTAGGACCTATAAGTATACCACATATGAGAGGCTGTATTATACTCCGGTGCGTGTGGGGAACATGTGCCTTCCCCTGCTGGGACATGGACTGCCCTGCCATATTTCTTGTTCCTGACATAACTACAGATGAATGGAGAGTCTTCTTCAGCTGCAGAGGTGGGATCTCCTGCCTCTCCTTGAACGCTGGCTTTGGGAGCTGGTTGAAATCAGGAGGCAGAACTAACCAGGGCGATAGAAATGGTTTCGTAAAGAGCACAAGTCCAGGCTAGTGCTTCTTAGTCAGATCTAAGGTCTAAACTCCAGAGTTACATGAAAACCCCTGAATTACAAGGTTACATCTACTGCTCTGTAATTAATATACTTTCCCTGCCTACGGAAAGGCTGCCTCTTGTCCCTTTAAGATCACATTCAGGTCCTCCTTCCTACAGTCTGAACCAGCCTTCCTGACTCAAGTCAAGACCCTAAGTAAAACCAAGGGGAGTCTACTAGCTTCAGATTTCCTCTGGCACCACTGACAGGGGATGGATGGCCTTTGCCACTGCTCAGATCTATCTTTGAGGGGCCCTATGCTGATTACGATGGATGGCTCAGGCAGGGGAGAGCTCTGCAGTGCCTGCTAGGAGGGTTTTCATCTGGCATGCAGCCCAGCATGGAGCGCCAGTAAGAAGAAGAGCAGCAGGAACCTCTTGGTATGCAGGGCAGCAAAGCCAGGGGCAGAGACTGGATTTTACTTTGGTGTCATTTAACTGCCTCATGTAATTCCAGGCTTTCAGCCTGGCTGGCATTCTCCCCATTATCTGTACCCGCAGCTACTCTCTGTGCTTCTCCTCTGATGCTGCATTGCACTGTCACCTTCTAACTCTTCCCTGCTCTCATTTTCTCCTTTCTCTTCCCCTTTCCCCATCTCTTTATTTCCTTGGCCTTTCAACCCTGTCTTCTTCTGAGCATCCCATCCTCCCTATTTCCCATTCATCCAGCTCTTTCCTCACTCCTTGTTGGAAAAGCAATGTGGCCTTTGGAAGAAGAGCTGGTGAACAAAGGAGCCACCTCCACTGCGCCAAACCTTGGAAGCACAAGGAGAAGTTAGATGTATCTTCTTTTTGTTCTGAGAAGGAGGTCCTGCACTGACCAGTACAGGAGCAGAGCCCTATGGGGATAGCTTGATGCTTTGGGATTCAGATGTTGTTATTAGGCTCCCAGACCATCATTTGCACCAGATAGATTCAACCTAATGCTTCCTTTGCCTCCCTTTGGAGGCGGGGAATCTTCCAACATCCTTCTGCAGTTTTAATTTGTGGGATGTTGGCAGGGCAAGGTTTCCAGCTGGTAAGGTTTTCCTGTCTCATCTGCGTCCAGGGTTCACCCCATATGATGTCCACAGCCCCAAAGGGATGAAAGTTGCCAGAGCAGGGATCAACAGCACAGCGGGGCTTTCAGCTCTTTTCCTCATTGTGACATTGAGTTTGTACCACGTGAGGGGTCCCAAACTGGGAGTATCACTCCAGGGAGTGCAGGAGAGAGCACCCCTCTGGGTGACATCACTGTATGAGGAGCTCAGACTATGAGAAATATGGGGAGTGCTGAACTTAAGGACCATACAGCGACCAAAGGAGGACAGTGGAGAGGTGACCCTAACTGAGGGAAATATGGGCAAAAAGACTTGTTCGGACAGATGCAGTCTCTAGATAGAGACACAGCAATGATCACTACAGACAAAAGAAATACAGAAAAGCATTAATATGTTAGTGAACTGGGGCCATATCACCTCTTTGTCTGGCTGCAGGCAAGAGAAGAGGTGGGTTGATAAGCACCCCTGTTATTCCCTCCCCTGCCATCCCCACCATCTAAGTGAGATGTGCCTGCAAAAACAGAGAAATCTCTATGGAAACCAGGATAAAGATTAACCACATTTAGCTAGGGAAGGGACTATCACTTGCTCTGTGTTGGTGTAACAGGGCACTGCTTTCAGACGAGGTCGCTGCATCCAAGCATGCAACTCAAGCAGTGCAAACTCTTCCCCCTGCAACACTCAGACTCCAGAGGAAGCAAGGTCTGCTTCATGCTGGAGAACTGGGGAACCTAGAAACCAAACTGCAGCCCTAAGCAAGAACCCCTGGGTGGCTCTGATGGTCTCTAGGCCCAGCAAACCCATTGTTACTCATCCAAGACAGGATTTTTGCTTTGACCTGCAGATCCTGACTGCAGGCACTTAGAGGATCAACACCAGAGCATGTACTGGACCAGCATGGATTTATACTGTGCTACTGGTGTCTGAACAAACTTATGGATCTGAGCTGGTCCTTCTGTAGGTAAAGCTAGCCCCGAGGACTGGAGATGCATTTTTGCCTGGCTGAGGACAGAGCATTCATGGGTTACAGGAGCAGCTCTGTGAAGGTCTCCGTTTTCCCCATTGATACACTGGGGAGTATAATCAGTCCCAAATGCCAGAGAGATAGTCAGCGATAGATGACTATTCTCCGGTGGGTTTAGATGCCTTAGGTCCATCTGCCTTGGATATTTGTATGGTCCACTCATCTGTGTCTCTAAGCCCCTCATATCTGATGTTGTAAGGCTTCCTGAGCTCCTCTGAAAAGGTTCCCTCTCTTGTTGTCATCTCCCTTTCGCTGATGAAGAAACTGAGAAACAGACATACAAGGACTCACCCTAGTCGCAGCAGAGTCCTCAGGGCATCAGAGATTTGACTGAAGGTTTCCTAAATCCAAAGCTACAACGGAAACCCTAGGACATGTTTAACCTTGATGGTGTGCAGAAATGTTTGGATGTGCCATGCTGGACTTTCCGTGGGGCTAAGTGAGAGGAATTGATACCAAATTACTCTTCTCCATATTCATGGAGGAATGCCACCCTCATTCGGACCTGCTGCTTTCCACTTCTACTTGAGCCAGAAAACCTGCAAACGTATGGGCTAGGGTGGGAAGACAGTAAGCTAGTCACTTTTAAAACACCAGAGGAGAACTTGGAGGTGGCTGCAGGAGTAGCAAAAGGCTCTGGAGCCTTCTGAGTCCTCCAGTCTCATTTTTAATTTGTTTTGCCTCCTGCAGGAGGCAATGAGATGCTGATACCTTTTAATTCCTCTGCATAGGTCTGTGAGTTGCTCGGTGATCGGGGCGGTAAGATGGACAAAGCTGATTATCTGACCAAGTCCTTTGACATGGCCAACATGACTAATTAATTTCCCATTCTCTTTTTCTCTTGGGCTGATTTTAGGACAGAGTCCGTAGCAGAGAAAATGCTCACCAACTGGTTCACCTTCCTTCTGTACAAGTTCCTCAAGGTAAGAGAAGCAGCACACCCAGATGAACAGCTACTTTAACGGATTGCTTCTTGGTGAGGTTTAGCTGGGGACAAAACTTTCCAGTTTAATAAGTGAAGGCCTTTCTCCCGATTCAGGAAGAAAAAAGAGGAGCTGTTTTTCACAGAGGCAACCTGTCAGACTTTCTCCTATGTAGAGTTAGGATCCAAGGGGTAGAACTGAAAGGGAGTGGGAGCAAGCTGTGATTTCCCAGGGTGCTGATCAGCGGAAAAGTGCAGGTGTCAATGGACCTGAGACACCCTTTGAGCCTGGTTTTTGGAGAGAGCTGGACTCAGCACCTCACATCCACTCTCAAGGCAGTTGCTAGATATTGCTGCACCTTACAGCCCAGGCACCCTGTGCTTGGAAATAAAAGGCTTTACAGATCAGCCCCATTCCCCTGAGCCTTCCCAACCCCCAGGTACAACCTGCCCAAGGAGGAATGCATGGAAAAGTTTTGAAGGTCCCTGGAAGGTAATTCCAGTGACTCTAATATCGGGTTCCTGTTCTCAGCTGAAAGGAAAGGATACAAGGAGGTGACTCTCTAAAGCACTGCTTTTATAATAGGCTTCCTCCGCTTCCCCCCAGCAACTTGTCTTCTTGCCTTAGCCTGAACAGGGGCCTGATAAGGGCAAGAGACAGGCACACAGAAGCAATATGCTGCTGGCAGATAAGTTAATTAAGTGGAAGACAGGTGTAGGAACTGAGAAAGGGGCCACTTCTTCTCTTCAGACTATTAACTTGTTTTTGCTGGGATTTACGCCAGAGGAAAATGACCTCACTCACTGAGGTGGGACACACCACCAGAAGCGAGGGTAAGGTGGGAAGAAGGGGAGGAAGGATGGAGAGATAAAAGGGAGGGGCAGCAATACAAGAAAGCACAAGAAAGGGCGCATGGCAGCATATATGGGGAGGGAGGACAGTAAGAGAGGAGAGGCCAGGAAAGGTGTAGGGAGAAGGAGTGGGGAGACCGCACGTGAAGGGAGGGAGGAATTAGGGAAGGACTCTGCCTGTGGGCTACTTGCTGCTGTCCCAGGCTGGAACCCAAACACCTGACATCATCAATGCAACCGCATGGATCCAGTGGCACATCTCTTCCCTGGGTCGTGGAGCTTCTCCTGGTGGAGCATCCCTGTTTGCCTCCAGAATGGGAGTGCTCTGGGAGACTGTGCCCCGCCTAGACACCCAGGATGGGGCAACAGTGGTCCATCTTCCTGCCAGCACTGTTTCCGGGTCCTTTGAGACCTGTTCCACCACATGCTCCAGTGCATTCCTCTGAGCCATCAGTACCAACCTGGGAAATCTCCTACAGGTCTCTGCTGGCCTTAGTATTGCTAGAGAGCACTGACACCCCTGGCCTGTGCAAGGACGCTCAAGGGGGCTGGCTTCACTCTGCAGAGGTGGGGCAGCTACCCTGGGGGCAACAAGTGTTGTTTGTGGAACAGTCCACTAGCATATGAGAAGAACTCAGTGAGAACTTGGTGGAGTTAGGCATTGGCTGGGTATGTGGAACAGACTGATTCCTGCTGCCTAGGGTGTCTTGCAGCTGGCAAGCTGTGGCAATCACTGAGATACTACATGGCTGGGACTCCAGGTTTTCATCTCTGCTCCGCCTAGTTCATCTGCCTCTTGTCTCTTCTACCTCTTGCAGGAGTGTGCTGGTGAACCTCTCTTCTCCCTCTTCTGTGCCATCAAGCAGCAGATGGAAAAGGGTCCCATTGATTCTATCACTGGAGAAGCCCGATACTCGCTGAGTGAAGACAAGCTTATCCGACAGCAAATTGATTACAAGACATTGGTAAGTGCTCTGAGCACACTCTTCTATGGGCTTCTCTGGTCTCTTCTAGAAAAGGGTATTTCCAGAAAAGAAGACAGTGATGGCCATGCTGTCCCTCTGGGACACTTCCTTCTTACTGCCTAGTAGCATAACCCTGCTAAAGATCCACTGGTAACATCCTGCAAGATAGTAAGGTTTGTGGCTGAAACTTGCAAAACTTGTTTGCAAAGATGACTGCTTCCAAGTTACTTCCACGTTGCCATGCCCCATGCCCAGAGCACCTCTGAGGGCATTGCCTGTCCTGTGGAAGAGTCTACATACATTGCACGCTGGACCAATTGAGAGCTGATGTTCTAGCATGGCTTGGATTAGGTGAGGTCCAGGAGCACTGGAAGACAAATGTGACCTTTATGTCATGAACGTGTGCCTGTGAATGTGAAAACAGATAGGGACAATTTATTCTGTCCTCGTACCAACTTATCATGCAAGTCTGGATTCACGCTGCCTCCAAATCTCATCTGTCCTTGGAAAAAACGGCATCGGGGCCATCTTGTGTGCCAGTAGTGGGCTTGTGGCATTCTGCACAGACAAATGAGATGATATAAGTGATGATATTAGGTCAGTTCAGAGCTCCATTAGGAAGCTCAAGATCTAGCCATAGGGAAATACCTACTATACAAATGACAGTGTAAGAGAGACAGGCACGTATTGATACACTCTCAGAGTATTTCCCAGCCTTCTGCAACCTGCAGATCAGACTTTACCCAGGCCAGATGTACTCTCTTTGTATTTAATAGCCCTTAATGGATACTTCTGCCATGAATTTGCCTAATTGCTCTGTGGACTTGTGTAAAATTTTATCACTGACACTAACTTTTTGCTAGGAATTGCACAGCTTAATGGCATTCTGGAATACATAGAGGTAGCTGGGCCTGGGAAAGAATGCCAGAGATGGTTAAGATGAAGTCCAGTACCAGTTCTTATCATTTAATATCTGATACATGCTTACTTTGAGGACTCTTTTTTCAGTTTTTGGGAGCTGGCAGATAGACCAGGAGCTTCTTCCATCCTTCTTGTGTTACAGTGTCTTCCAAGCACAGAGCACGCTTTGATTTCCCTCAAAGGCATAGACTCTGGGTTCCCCCCACAATGGTCTGGAAGGCAGCTTAGCAAATAGTTTGGCAAGTGGAGGAATATGACTTTATAATTTTTTTATCAGCAGAAACTGGGATACAGTGTAGTCTTACTGGCATACACTTTCTGCTGGCAGTTTGGGTAGTACTCACAATCCGTGCACAGCAGCATGCAGCTTGTGGTGGGATGATTTATCCACCTTCTCTGGTAGGCTGCACAGTCTGCTCCAGACTGTTGCTGTACCTTAGGTAGTTTAAAGTTCTCTCTGTTAAGATGATATTACATTGCAATCTCCTTTCCCCTTCCCCTCTCCTCTTCTTTCTGGAGCAGTTTACGGAGGGAAAAACACTCTGTCCAGGGCATCCAGTGGAGAAGTAAAAGCTCCAGAGAAGAACAGTAGCACTGGAGGAGCTGTTATGCTGGGAAGTAGGAGGAAATCAGAGAGTGATGACTGGGCAGAGGACTGGGATAGGGTAAAGATGAAGACAGGTGAAGGAGCTTGTCCCGTGCACAATAGAAGTGGCCAGAAGGGGCTGATGCTGACTGTCAGCGGTGCCCATTATAAAGAAGTGTCTGTGCAGGTCAAACAGAAGGAAATGGAGAGAAGAGTGTTTGTTCTCTGGCAGGGTTGTAACTCCCAGGTGCAGGAACAGGGTCATTCAGCTGTGGATGGGAACAAGCCTCTTTGCTTAACATTGGATAATATGCAGCACAGTCTCATAATGACAAGTGCTAAGGTGGAGTGGATAGACCAAGAGGTCTTCTCCTATCTGGATTACTACAAATGATATCTTCATGATATGACCCTTCCTCTCTGGGAGAAAACTCTTACTCTCAAAATCTTGTTTTGGGCAAAAAAGAGCACAACTTCCATATGGATCTAAGACTTTGTTGTTACTCTAATAAATATCTTAAAAGTCTAAACAAAATACAGTGAATAGTTAGTGCTAGCTCAGTTACAACATGCTAACAATCATTTCCAGATTAACATAGCAAATCCTCATTAATAATGCAATTGAAACTGTTATACGAAACACTTCTTAGTATCTGCCTCTTTTTCCTGATGTGATGCTCACTCTTCCACTGTCCCTCTGGGTCTGAACATCAAAGGTACCAGTGTTTGCAGAAAGAAGAAAGGTGGAGGTTGTCACTGCAAATCATCACCACCCGGAGGTCTTCACCAGGAGCAGTGTAATGTCCACAGTGGAGTTTCCTCCTCCTCACTCGTAGATCCCCCTAGGGACTATTTCCACCCCTCCTCTCCCCACTGCCGGCTCCCTTCTGCCTGGCCCCAGCTCCAGCGGGAGAGTCGCCCAGCGCCCAGACCAGGTCACACAAAGGCTGTTGTTTGCCAGGCAGGGACTGCCCGGGGGCAGCCTGTGGTCCTGCAAGTGCTCGTGGAGCTGAGCTCAGGCAAGATGCTGTCTCCCCTGTCCCTGAATCATTTGCTCAGTTAATTGGCTGCATAGTGAAAGAGATAGTGTTTCTTACTACATTGGATATGTCCAGCCTAGCTTCCTCCATTAGATCATAAACTTCTTCTGGTTGATTAAAGGACCAGTGATTATTAGACATCGCTTCTTAATGTAATTATTTTTAGGTCTTTACTTTCTCCTGCATACACGAAATCTACTGAGCTTCTAAGTCTCTGCAGCATGAAGGAGACTTTCCACATCTTCAGTGATACTTGTAATTCTTTTTTTCCCCATGTCTTTGTCCCAGGAAAAACCCTACCCTTAGCCTTAGGATTCTCAGAGGATGCTATTGGCTTATCTACTGATTTTATGTGCAGCTTCGTTTGAGGAACCTTCTCCTCACTCAACTTTAGCTGTCTTTAAAACCTATGTCTCCAGTTAATGCTAGTTCACTGACCTGTCCTAGATTCCAGCTCGGGTGGGCTGACTCACTGTCTAGAAATAAGTCTTTTTCTTCACTGGCTACAGACTAGACTCACGAGCTTTGATCAGAACCAAGTCTAAAGGGGGTATAGACTTTACTCCTAAACATGATCAGAATTGAATTTCTCATATTAAAAAATAGGACTTGCCTGTTAAATCAGCAGGGTAGGCCTCCTTTCTGTTACATGTGGTTGTCTAGCAATTTGTAAGCCTGATCTTGAATGGAGAAACTGAGCAAAAGAAAGAAAAATGCAGACACAGAGCGATCACTTTTCACCAAAGGAAATCCCTCCGATCCTTTTAGGCTTGATATAAAGCAGCCGGCAAGAAGGGTAGTAATTATACATCAGCCTGAACAAAGCTCTCTTCCATTCACTCTGTGTTGTTTGATGTTAATCAGCTCTCCCTCTTACATCTCAAGAGCAGACAAATATATCCTGATAGGAATCTTAGCAGATTTACAGAGATCAGCTCCGGTGAAAGAGATTAAGAAGAAGCAGAATATGAATAGGCCTATTCTTCCTTTTTGTCTCTTTTCATTTCTGTTTTATTTTCTCTCTCCCCTGCCTTCCTTAAATAGGCATTATTCTATCATTTTTGTTAAAAATATATCATAATGAAATAAAGTAAGAACTGATTCAATTGATGCTTTTCTTCTTATATTATCCTGAATATCTCCTGTTCTCTCCCAAACTAATCTGGTCACCAGTATGAATTTGCAATATTTGTGACTAAAATTCATTGAGTTGTTCACATCTCGTGAGTGCTGGGTGCTAGCTGGTTGTTCGGCAGAATTAAATACCAGTTCCAGCAATATGACACATTGAAGAAGTCTATTTATTATTATTAGTTCAGAAAGCCAAGGCCAGGGTTTGTTTTGGCTGGTGGGTGTTATTCTTTACTCCTCTTTAATTGTGACCAAATGTTTTAAGTGATTGTTTTAACTATGGTTTAAGTGAAAAGCAGATCGAAAAGATTAAGTGATTTGCCCAGGGAGACAATAGGAGGCAGAATATTTTCAGACCTCGGGAATTATTTTATATTACACACCTCACTTACTAAGCTTTGATTGTTTGGGGCTAATTTCTCCTCAAACAAGATAGCTCTGATTTGCTGCCTGCCAAGTCCTACAATTCTCCATAGGAAGCAGCCCTCACTGGGCTATGGTCTTTGCACTATGTAACAATTTGTGTACGCACAAGGAATTGTTAAATCCGAGAGAAATTAGGCCAGTTACAAATGTGATTTTCTCAAATAAATGTGTTGCAAATCAACTGACAGAACTTCTCCCAAGACTTATACTTTGGAGAAACACCCGCTGGTGCTAATGCCTTTGTTAAGAGTCAGTGAACATCATCTCTGATCTGCAGTGTTATTAAAAACTCACCCAGATTATTCTCCCGATGAAGGATAGGAAGTCCTCATCCCTGCTGGTCACTGCCTGCCTTTTCCAGAATCCATAATTTTTTAGCCATTTAAAAAACTCGAATCTAGATGTAAAAACCTCACTTCCTACTGCCACCGCTCAGCTGTCACTGGGAGATGAAAGACCATCCATCCATCTCCTGCATCAGCTTCATTTTTGTTGTCACAAATAATGCAGATGAGCAAAGGCCTCGATATGTGTCGGATACTGCCAGGAGTATTGGATAATTAGTGCTTAGGGGTGGTGGGCAGGAGCTGCCCAATACATCTTGTCTCGGAGCTCCTGGCATGCTCTGTGCGGTCCCTGCACACCTCAGTGGCTCCAGTGCCGAGAATCTAATCAGCTCATCTCTCCTGACATCATACTCCAGGGTGGATAAAGACACTTCAAGCTGCCTGTGGTTAAAGCTATTCCAGGAGTTTTGGTGGCAGGGAAGAAGCCACTAAAAAGATGTCAAAGGATTTCCCATGCTTGGCCTCTTTGTGGGTCCTTTTCTTGCTTGATTTCTGCTGAGCTTCTGCCGAGAGAAAGATGTCTGCATCTGGAACAGAAACTGCAGTGATCTCCTGGTCATAGGATAGACTACTCAAACACTGCTCAGAAAACTCAGGGTCAGGGTCCCTCTGTGAGTAACCCCAAGCCACGCTGTTATTATTTAAATGTCAGCAATCCACAGTACAGATCAGGGTTCAGCTGCACTAGGCATTGCACGTCTAGATACTCAGAGACAGCTTGAGCCTGGAAGGGCTGGCAGGCGAAAAAAGCCCAAGGATGCACGAAAAGGTCAATAAGCACAGACGCAGTGAGATAGCATGGCCCAAGATCACATAAAGTCGAGGGGAGAACAGGGCTGAGAGATTCCTAGTCTGCTTGTTCTCAATCCTGCACCTTTCCATCCTGACCCTGTGACTGACACCCTCCTTGTACTACGTTGACACAGACTTCAATGCATGAAAAAACAGTGGTGTCAAGTGCTGATTTCCTATCGATGGCAAAAACCACATTTTCAGCATCTCCTTGAGGAGTGCTGAAGTCTCCTGTCCCTTTCATCCATGCTGGTAGCTCTCGCCAACAGGGCTCAAGAGCAGAGAGGGAATGCATTCAGGACCTCAGCATCTCACAGATTCCCTCCAACTGACAATACAACACAGGCCATCACAGAGGTCTCTCCCCTGCCAGTTGACACCAAGGATTGTGTTGGGCAGCACTGCAGGAGCAACGGGATTAGGCCTGTGTCTTTCACTGATTGCTGTAATGACAGCTCACCGTGAAAGCACAGAATGATCCTTACACTTCCAGTGCGAATGGAGCCCCTAAAGTCCGATAAATGGACAGAGACAATGCTTAAAGGATTTTTTTCTCCTGGTCACCTTCTACCAGGGACGACCTATGGAAATCCAGGAGGATCAGTGTAACCCCTGGGAGGATTCGCACAAGGGTGGGGTAGGAATCTCTCTCTCCCTTGCAAACACTTCCATTTGATTGGGAGCTTCAGTTTGCTAAGTGGCATGATTTTCAGTCAGTGGTATAAGGATGACCTCTACAGAGCCCCTGAAAAGTTTCTAAGAGAAGCAATTTTTTGGTGTGTACAATACACAGCTACCCCCTGCAAAATTCCCAAAGTCTTTGCACTGAGAGAAGTTCAGAGCTCCACAAGAAAGCAATTGGCAAACACCATCCAAGAGCTGACACAAAACCTGGAGCTTATCTACCAAAGCCACAGTACTGTAAGAAGGGGTTTGGATTCTATAAGCAATGATTGCATTACCTGAAGTGTTGAAAAGAGCTTCTTGAAGGCCATTGAAATGAACATCGAAATGAATGAGTATGAGGGTCTGCAGGTGCTAGCAGCTGTCTACCTCTGTGCTTGAGACCACGAAGAGTAAATCTGTCTCTGCATGACCCTTTGAAGTACTACTTTCCCTGCTCCCTTCCAGCTGATTTGGAAAAGGAGAACAAGGATTGCTGTAGTCAGGACATGAATGGTCATACCTGCCCAGACAGAGTGTTTCTGCCACCTTCCAAAGTAGGCATCCTGTGAAATTCAAGGACAGTCAAATTATAACAGCAGATTACCACTGTCAGCGCCCAGCTGGATGATGGACCACATTGCATGGTGGGCATTGGTGTGGCAGATACAAGCTAGCACCTGCAGGAGACCTGGGCCTTTTTGGACCAGCAGCAGGAGGCCTGGAAGGGATCATTTTGAACAGCACGAGGTGCCTCTGCGTGGGCAGCTTGAACTGAAGCCCGGGTGACTGCCCTGGAGCTGAATCTACACAGCTTGCTCTGACCGGCATCAGCTGAGTCCACCTTAGCTGAACTAAGATTAGCAGAGATCTTTGGAAAAGATCACTATGTGCAAGAGAGACCTGCAAAGTAACTTGATCTCCAGAACCATGTGTGACCCCCCATAGCACTCTCATAGGATCTGACCTAGCCTGCAATCACCAGTTCATTTCCCTACAGATGTGTGATGGGAGGGGGACAACTAATAATCTCAACATTGAATACATTTCAACAGCGCTTTTATGTATAGCTCTGTGTTCCTTTGAGATGAAAGATGCCACAGAACTGTAAATTTGTGCTGTTGCTATTATCTGAATTGATGCTTCTTCAATACTCCTGGAAGTGACATATTTATAAACGATAGCATTATGATCTAATCGATATCTTATATTTATATCTCCCCTTTCATCCAGAAAGATCACAGAGCTCTTTGTAAGCAATATCTTCATAAGTCCCTCTTAGCTGAGCATAACAGCACCAAAGGGAGCATGGTGAGCCAATCTGTAATTATTGTGTTATTATTTCACCCAGTTTCCAGCCACTTTGAGATCCCACTGCATCTTACTAGGTTAAGGTGGGAAGTGAGGGAGAGTCCAGTACCTATTGCGTACTACAGAAGGGAATTTACAGCCAAGGTAGAATTTGTGTAAGTCACCAAAAATAACATGTCTGCTCTCATAAAAGTGCCACAGGAACATTTAATAACTGCATATAGCCAGGAGCTCTACTGAACACGCCTTCCAAGCGTAAAGGTGTGCTAAGTTTATAAAAGTTTATAGACTTCACACTCCGGTAACCAGAAGAGACCAGAACGCTCGACATACACATGGCCATGAGTTAGGGGGTAGGCTGCTGTTAAAATCTGTGCATGCATTTAAGGAATCCCTTCCCCCTTTCTACCCCATATGCTTTGCATTTTACTCTTGGACACCGTATTTGGAGCAGATGCTGTTCTCCTTCTGAGAAATCAGAGGCCTCTCTAGTTTGGTCACTTTTCTTGTTCTATATATCAAGCAAGAGGTATTTCTTTTTTTTTCTTTTTCTTTTTCTTTTTCTTTTTCTTTTTCTTTTTCTTTTTCTTTTTCTTTTTCTTTTTCTTTTTCTTTTTCTTTTTCTTTTTCTTTTTCTTTTTCTCTTTTTTAAGTCCTACATTTCAAACTAATAACATTTTTCTCAGGCCGAAGGGTTTTGGACTGTCACAGGATTCTGCAGAAGACATTCCAAATTAAGGCTGAGAGATCCATGATCATTTTTACCTGAATTATCAAGGTCGTGGTGGCAATGTAACAAGGTCATTACTGGATTCTGCTGCCTTGGCAGCTCTCTAGGGAGCAACGAGTGGCTCAGAGGCTAAGGAAAGCTCTGGAGACCCCTTCGGATACCAGTTCAGCTCCAACCAGGGTCAGAGCCAATTGCATTTTTGTTGGTCACTCACTACTGTCTAGTTCCATCTGGATGAATGAAATGTTTACTGAAGGCACCAGAACCTGAGCTGGTGCTCATGGGCTTTCTACTATTAAGTGTTGTAAAGATGCCAGAGAGATGAGGCTCAACTTTAAGGGACTGCTCCCATGGTTATAGTAGCTTCACCTCCCAGAGACAAGTGGCATGAGAGACAAGTTCAGAAAAAACCCTCACATCAACCCCAGATCACTGACTATAACATCTGGGAGCCTGTAGCACCTAGCTAAAAGCCAAATCACACTTTCATTAAACCAATGGGTGAGTTACCCTTAGTTCGATGGGCACAGACCTAAAGTGATACTAAAGCTCTGCAGGATAAGGGATTGAGGGTAAAGCGGGCATGGATTCATGCGGTTCCTGTGCCTTCTCAGAGCACATTTCACCTTATTCTACCCCAGATCCCTCCCAGCTTCATCCAGCTTGTAGGACACAAGAAACTGGCTGAGGAGGGGGAGGATCACAGGGTACTTGTGCCACTCTGAAATGGGTGGCTGATCTCACTGCCTCCCCTCCCTTCTCTCAGGTCCTGAGCTGCATCAACCCTGACAACGTGAACAGCCCTGAGATCCCGGTGAAGATCCTGAATTGTGACACCATCACTCAGGTCAAAGAGAAGATCCTGGACGCCATCTTCAAGAACGTGCCCTGCTCCCACCGGCCCAAAGCTGTTGATATGGACCTGGGTACGTGAGTGCATGGTGGGCATTCAACACCACCGGACAGGGCGGAGAGGGGAGATGGGAGCCAGACAGACCCAGCCCAGACACTGTTTGCTATTGTAAGCCCCACCTCACCAGACAGACGATGCCACTGGTGTATGTGCAAAGGAAAGCAGCAGCAATGGTGGGAGGGCAGAAAGCACTAATTAAATTAATGCATACACTCCCAGCTAATGATAGCTCTATGTCTCCGGCTTTGAGGACTGCGTGTTGGAAAGACCAGCAGCCATCCTTCAACTTAGGAAACAGCAGCCCTGGGGAGTGCTGCTCCGAGATTTCCTTTCTGCAGAGGGCTAGGGGAGCTGCATTCATGTCTTCAGGAAAAAAAAATGAGTCCCTCTGTTTATCATTAGCTCTGCCCAAGATCATTATAAGAAAACTTTATGAATTCATGTGCTTTTCTCTGTGGTCTGCTCCTTCGTGCATTACTCTGCTTGGAGGCTGGAAAGAGCTGCATCTGTTTCACTTGCATTTCTTGTCAATTGTGCTGTCAAGCTCTGGGGCACACAGGGAGCTATACTGCCCTTTACAGGGGAGCCTCTGAGTCCGAAATCAGTTTCTGCCCAAAGTGTGGAGCAAGGGCAGTGGGAGGAGTGAGGTGTCCGAAGTTGGGTCCACAGACAAATCTGATATCACACCTGGAGGCTGCTGTGAAAGGGTGTAGAAAAATCTGCTTATGGCATTCTTGTGGTGCCTGGTGTGGAGCTGGGGACTTTATTGTGTGAGACGATTAGCCAGAATTTGCCCTTCACGACCTTCAGTGAAAGAGATTTGAGTAGAAAATGATGGAGTCTATAAAACCCTGTGAAGCAGGAGAGGAACCAAAAGGAAAAGGAATGGACTGATGCCAAGAAGCAATTCACAGCAATAATGGAGGTAGAAATGAGAGGTCAGGGATTAAAGTTAAGTGTATATATGTGCGTGCATTCGTATAGGGGAGGAGGGGACTCCTGACAGAAATTGCAGCAAGATTTTTGCTCAGGAAAGACAATTAAAATAACGAAACAAGCTGCCAAAAACAGCAGCAATAAAGAAGAAATCATATACATCATCAAGAAAAGACCCAAGATGTTTCTGGAGCTGCTCTGAGTCAGCAGACAACTGGAGAATGCAAGCAGGAGCCTGAGGCCAGAAGCAGCAGAGGGTCAGGGCACCGTAGAAGGGAGAAACAGGTTTTATGGCTAGATCCACTGATCTGTGTGGTACTGGATGGTGGCCACAGAGCCACATTTAGACCTGAGACTGGATGTGGGTGGAAAGCGATCTGTCTCAATGGTATATAAGCCCTAGGAAGCAGGAATTTTACCGACATGTTGGAAATATGAAGGATGAATTGGACTCCACAGATTTTATTGCAGCTTTGATAATAGATAGCAGGTGGATTCTGCCTTCTCTGTGACTTTTTCAGAGACAGTCCTGACAGAGCTCCATCTCCCACCCCACCCTGTCCAAACTATGGACAGGCCTGGAGAGCGGGGCTACTCTGGAGCTGACCCACGTTCCCAAATACAGAAGAGTGTGTGTGCATTGCATGGGGGTCCCAAATGGAGAACCTGACAATTGTGCAGGGTTTTTGCTGCTGCAAACAATTTTGACCTGCTAAGTGTTGCTAAGGACCAGTGAGGTCCAGAAAGGCATCCTCAAAGGAAGAACTGGCTGGTCCTTACTGACAATAGACTGTTTTATGAGCAGCCCTATAGCAGAAAACATTGATGATGCAGTTGAGAGGAAAAAAATCTCATTTAAAAGAGGAACAATAAAGTTGCAGGCTTCCTTAGCACAGCTGCCAACAAGGTGCGAGTAGTACAGCTGACAAGGGTGGAAAAGGCATGAGAGGATATGCATGTCCTGCCATCACTCCAGCCCATCTTCTTTGTCAGAAAAGATGTTTGCTGGTGTATGGCATCCTTTGGTGATAGTGAAGGTAGTATGGGGAGAACAGGAAGCTGCTGTCCCTCAGAAAGCAGCACAGAGCTCTCAGGGTCACCCTGCCTTGTGCTCCAAAAGCTGTTGGATCAGCCCTGCCAGTCCTTGCTAAGCAGTAGGACAGAGCAATCTGGCCTTGAAATCAGTGGCTTTCTAAACAGTAACACTGTTTTCTACTACCGTTACCATTTTCTAGGCTTTCTGTCCATAGTAAGGCCAGATTGCTCACATGGAAGAAAGCAAACAAGCTAATGAGTCATTTTGAGTTATTAAATGCAGGGTAGCTGCAGACAGAGTGACTTGCATGTGCCACAAATGTCATAATGTTTTGCAGTTACCCAGACGACTCATGGTGGGGGTTGTCCGCTGAAAGCTCTTATGTTGGACACCCTGAGGTTACATTTTAGTCCAAAACCCAAATTGCAGCCCTCTGAGTAAAGGCTTCTTTCTACAGTGACCGTTTGTGTTATTATTTTTTTAAAGACTCCATCATAAATAAAATACTCCCTCTTGGGGAAAGCATTAGGGTGTGAGGATCACAAAACAGAAATTTGGCTCCACACTGAGACATCCACTCTCTCTGCATTTCAATTACCTCTTGAAAGGGACTGCTGGGGTGCCGGGGGCAGCTGGGTCGAGTGCCGTGCACTGATTCTGTATCCGCTTCGGTACAGAACACACCAGGGCAAGCTCTCACCACTTCACCAGTATGCCTCACTGGAGGTGCCACACGGGGATGGGGAGTTCAGTCTTTGGAAACCCTTTAAATTGAATCGAACTCTAGTATATCTACAGTAAGGCAAACTACTTACATATATAGGACAAAATATCTCCAGGCACCTTCCATCTATGCATTTGGATATGAACTTCTCTTCCCCACCACCCCAAACTACCGTGGTCCTTTCTCAACCCGAGAAGCAGAGCCGAGATGCTCAGTTCATTTCCTGAAGGTCATGATTTGCTGGACACTTATCCATCTTTGTTTCCTGCCCACCTGGTCTTACTGGAACCTGCAGCATATAGACAAAAGTTTTTTTTTCTCCTATTCCTATGTCAATAAGTCTCTCATGTGGAAGTTATTGGGAAGCGATAAAACACTTCTAGGAATGTAGAACTAGGAGTGGCCACCTGGCTCTTCAAAACTAATCCTTCACAAGCACAAGTGATCATGAAATAAGTATTGAGCCTGGGTAAGCCAGATGCATTTCGTTCACATGCCGTTGCTGCACATGAGCAGTCACAGAAACATTTCACAGCCCTTTATAGTGGATTTAAGGTCTGCAGGAAAAGGGTGGGAAACACACTGCAGCATATATGAATGACTAAGATGGATCATGTACATCATGACCTGGAAGTGCCTGTTAACGATAGGGTAACTGATGGTGACCAGTTCAGGTGACGGCATCTGGAGTGAGGTGAAAGGACTTCCATCCACATGGGTATTTCAATTGTCCCGGAAAAAAACCAAAATCATTTCTCCACTACACTTTTCTCCCTTGTTCAATGGGCCTGTTCAGGGTCACCTGGATCAGAGAGAAAGCACATAGGACGTGCAAGATTTTAAGTAGGATTCGAGCTGCAGGATAGCATATCCCTTGCACCCATAAAGCCATCCCCTAGCCAGGCATTGATAAAGCTCAAACAAGCCCCGCTTTTCATTGGCCCTTGGAATTTCCTTTTTCCCAGTCAAGTTGAACAGAAAGGTTGTTTCTAAAAGAAAAAAAAAAAAAAGAAAAAAGAAAAAAAGAAGTAATTCCTGCGTGCAATAAAAAGATACACTATCTGCTGAATGAAATATAAAGGCTTCACAGCAGCTGTCTCCTGAGTTTGCATTTACCGCTGCTGCTGATTGGAAGGTTTGATAAAGATAATGGGATTTTTTGCCTCCCTCCCCCTCCCCCTCCTTGTCTCCGGAAAGTGGAAGTGTAACAAAGTGGATTGGAGTGTGTCTCTCCTTTGTGGCGGCACGGTGAGGAGTGCACAGATCTGATGAGAAAGGGTACAGGGTGCTGCCACCGAGGACAAAGCTAACCGTTTTCCCTTAGCGCGACAAATACAGATGTCAGGGTCACCTTTTCCTCCTTTGCCCCTTTCTTACACCCTCTCCCAGCCTCTATATTTACTTTAAAGATCAGTATGACCCCCTTAGTACTTGCAGAGAAAGGGAGCATGCAGAACTCCTATAAGGCAAGCCAGGAGGAGTTGGAGGCCCCATGGGGAGCCTGGTGACCACAGCTGGGGACTTTTCCCAGTCATCACTCAGATGCACAAGGAAATAATTTGTACTTGGTCAGGGAAACAGGGCAGAGCAATGAGGCCAAATGCTTTGCATCTACCCTACAGGGTATTGACCCCCTTGACTTGCACGGGAGAGGGTCTTGTGTGGAGTCAAACTGGCAATTCTCCGTCCTTCTGTGCACTCAGTGGGGCACTTTGTATGAGCACCATTTCCCAGTCAAGCCGAGGCTTCAGCATTTTGCGGTCTTCCAAGACATATATGGGACTGGCTAGCTTCTGGGATTCCGTTCCCGGCAGGATGAACAGAGAGCATCAGCCTTGGACATCACAGGGATAATATCAGTGAAGATCTAAGGAGCTGGAGTAAATGAAGGGCAGCTTAGGATCAGTGCTTAGCCACCATAACCTCTACTTACACTCTCAGTATCTCCAGCCAAAGAATCACCCAGCAATAGACACAGCAGCTGACCTCCTCCTCCTCATTTAAATGAATAATAAAGGCAAGGGCTACTTTCCCAATACATTTTAATTATGTGATAAGAAAACTGCTGAAACCAAAAGAAATTTGCCACGGTCCTTGCATTTTTACATTAGGAGCAATAAGCAGGGGTGGCAGGTGATGTCTCCATATCCAAGAGTTCATTTTAATTAACTCAGCAAATGAATAGACGTTCTGTTTGGACTGTGGCTAAACCGTATGTGGCTGGGTCATTGCGACTGAGGCATGACCACCAATAAGGAAGTTTTAGACGGTTCAGGTTGTCTGCGGCTAAGCCACAGCCATTCCTGGTGTCCCTAAGTGATATTACATTTCTCTCCTTTGGCCCTGCTTATATATTCCTTGCCCACAGGCAAATGTGAGAGTCCTCTGTGAGGAAAGCTCTGCCAGTCCTCCACATAGAGCATCCTTCAAGACTTGAGTGAAAGGTAGTGCTCTGGAAAGTGACAAAGCGTTCCAGTCCGGAAAAAAGAGAGAAGCACTCAGCATTTTGGGGTACAAGCTAGCAAACTGAAAGCAGCCGGAAAGAGGAGCCCTTTTGCTTACGTACCTGCTGCAGAAGGCTGATGGAGACAGCATGCTCCATGGAGCGGGTATTGGTTCTGGTTTGGGCTCTTTTCCTAATTGTGTCTCTGCTGTAAGCTAGAGCTGAGCCCTTCATACTCTCCATTACTCAGGACATCAGGGACAAGAACTGTTGCAACAACGCTGAAGGAGATGAACTGGCCCCAGAACAGTGTCTGATGCTTTGCTGAACAAGGTGTTGCTCTACCCAGGGAGCTCTGGCAGTGGCTGGATCTTGGCAGTTAGACATGACTCACGTACCCAGAAATGTTTTGTCTATTTTGACAAATGAAGGAGGGTCAGGGACCAATTCCCATCCCTAAGGCAAGCGACACTGGCTGCCATCAAATAGCGAGGGGCTAACACACGCAAGAGCAGGCTGGTTTTGGAACTAGCAAGTTGGAGGAACGACAGAGCCAGGGAGTGAGCTAAGAGTTAAGCACTGTGAATAACCAGATTGCTAAAGCACTGGGCCTTGTTCTGTTCAGCTCTGTGATCCAGTCCTTGTTTAATTTATGTGTAGACACCCCATCAGTGTCTGCTTTTGTGGCCTAACACCAGATTTGTCGTGTCTGATAGCAACTGCCATATATTCTGATCTTTACATAGTGCAATGTCATTCTTTAGAAGGGTGTGTGTTTCTGGTGAACAAGTCTTTTTGTGAAAGCAATATCATTTCAGTTAGGGCAAACAAACCAGTCTGGATAACATAGGACTTGACTCAGAACTTTGTCACATAGCTGTGATTTTCGCATGCTTTCCTGAACCATCTCCCTCCGTCTTTCGTCGTTCGTCTGTCCCTTCTTTCCCTGTCACGGGCTTTGGACACATGTGTATTCATATGTTGTATGTGATTGGAGACACCTGCCAAACCATAACAGTAATGACTGAAACATGCTGCTTCACACACACGTAGCCTGCATGTGTGTGATGAACAGGAGTTATGGGCACAGGAGTTACTGAACCTCTATACCCTCCTCAGAGGGGCTGCAGAGCAGAGTGAAATGTGCCATTTCTCCTTGCAGAGTGGAGGCAGGCAAGTGGGGCAAGGATGATCCTCCAGGATGAAGACATCACAACCAAGATAGAGAATGACTGGAAGAGACTCAACACATTGGCACACTATCAGGTAATGTGACCACATCCTCCCCTTGCAGAGACCCAGGACGACTTACCTGGTTCTGTTGCTGGGTGATCATGCAGTGGGGAGTTACTGATCTCCAGCCAGCTTATCCAGCACCTCTCCAAAGGACACACTGTATTCCCAGGGGCACAGCTTTGCCCAACATACATCCCCCTCCATTGTCCCATGCTCTGTCACTCGGCACCTCCTTCCTACCACTACGAGGCTGCTCTGTGTGTGGTCACAGTGTCGAGGGAAGCTGTAAGCATCACGATGAGACAGAGCAAACTCATCTCAGACACTGAATTAAAACAGTGTCCACCGTGACTGTCCTTCTGCTTCCCTGTTTCCCTGCTCAGGTAGAACAGCCAAGAAAGTTAAAAGGAGAAGGATAAAGTGCTGTTCTCTAAGACAGCAATAAACAACAGCTGAATGGACAATAACTGGGCCGAGATGTATTGAGGACATCCATCCTGCCCCACTGGCCTGATAGGAATCATCCTGAAAATCATTAGAAATGAGTCCAAGGGAAGAAAAAGGCCTCTGTCATTTTCAAAGGAGGGAGCAGCCCCGGTGAGAAAGGATGTGAAGGGGAAATGCAGTCAACATGAGGACAACACAAGTCAACATTTCTTTTGTTGACAAACAGGAAACAAGCCCTTCCCTCCCTCTTTTCCCAGTGCATCCAAGTTTGTTGTATTGTTGCTTAGGTTTTTTTTTAATGTTAGGAGAGTGGAGAAGGGTTGAAGGAAGAAAAATGGAAGGGGAGGGTGTTTATTATCTGGAAGAAGGAGGAGGAAAGCAACACTGCTGGAGACAAAGCGGTGCGACAGAGTGATTGCTGACCTGGGAACTCTTGGTTTTAATCCATATCCTGATCTGCGTGACCTGCCTTGGGCGGGGGCTTCCCTTCATCTCTGCATAACTTTGAGATCCATAAGAGAGGACAAAACACTTCCAACAATATCTTACAGATGTAGATTTCCTGAAGATTTGAGTTCTGGTGAAAAGCTCCCCCCGCTCATCCTCTCCCCTCTTGCCAAAAAAGCCTATCAAGTTTAATCCAAAACTGACAATTTTGTCATTTCCTCAATCACACCTCAGCAATCTGTGCTTCATAACAAATTTTTTTTTGCATTTAATAGATGACCTGAGGAGGCAGCAAGCAGTAATTTGAAAAGAAAACCAAACTTTTCACTCAAAATTGACTGAAACTGACTCCAGAAGATATTTTTTCTTTGGGGCGGGGAGAGACTTATTATTTCACCAAAACCAGGGTATATTTTTCATTTATTTCTTGACTTTTTCCAGTTATTTGCTTCCAGCAATGAGCTCTCAGCTCTGCTGATGAGCTGGGACAAAACAGATCCTCAGCTGCCAGCGTGCCAGGAGCTCTATGTCATGTAACCTGGCTGTCCTGAGGGCCAAAATGGAGCATGCTGGGACAATCACTGATATTCCTGATGCCTCAGTTTCCCCATCTGTAGTGTGGGGCTAAAACTACAAAGAGTCGATAACTGCCTTCCGTGATTGCTGAGAGGCTATTTAATTAACCTCTGCAGTGCTTTGAAGATGAAAAGCTCTGTGCAAGTGCTAATTATTATTATTACACAGACGAGAGCTAGAAGTTGTTAACAAGTTTTTTTTCACCTATCTCCTTTTTATAATGTCTTATTTATCATAGATATTCCTGATATGGCTCCTCTGAGTCACTAGCTTGTTAACGTTTCTGATATAAGACTCACATGAATAGCCTAGGTTTAGAAAGGAAAAGTCTAGCTCAGATCAGAAAGCTCTGTTATCTGTTGAAACGCTCTT